TTGTGTGTGTAATCTATCTATGCTTCTTATTGCTGATGGTGTATATAATAGATTCAACGATGGGTCGGATCCATTGTTAATAGTGAATATGAGGATTTCTATGACTCTAGTGTTCAGTTTCTTGGCTATAATTCGTTTGTCCTTTGTGGTGAAGAAATCGATGTATTTGTCAATTGTATTTATCAGGCTAATCATAACCTTTCACTGAATTCTTTCAGTATATTTATATTTAGCAAATTTGGTCTTAAAAGCCTCCATTGCTGGATTAATATTGTTGATGTATACTTTACTTCCCAGTTGGAAGATTAGTGATATTTCATTGGTAAAGATACACTGTCTTCTTTTAAAGCAGTTTTTGAGATTGGAGAGTGTCTCTGGGACCTGTGGATTGGTATAATTTGCATTTTCCAGGTTGATGACCTCAAATAGTACTATATAAGATACTATATTGATTCGTAAAGAGCAGTATATATTATATATATTGTTATAACTCCGTAAAACTTGAATTCAGACCGAAATTCAATTTCTGGTGACCAGAATTTTTTTTTCGGAATATTGTGTTTGGATATGAAATTATAGGAAAACCTTTGGCATAACGTGGTTTATCAGTGCGTCGCGCATATCAGTGCCTCGCGCACTTTTTCACTACTCAATCATTTCAAAATATTATTCAATAATCACAACATATAAAATTAATTGAAACTATTCAGAATCTGATAAACTAGAGTCTTCTAAATCCTCCTAACAAGTTCGTATATTATGACCAGTTTTACCACAAGAGCCACAACGATGTAAAGTTGATTGTTCCCCATTTGAACTACTCCTCTTAAAGCATTCGTTGCATCGAATCTGATTATCTATATCGGTCTGTAATATAATATCACATCCATCTTATATACTAAGTATTCCTCCTTAACGAATTCGACTCTTTTTAGCTCTACAATGTTTACTCAATGCCTCATTTGCCTTTCGAAGAATACGAATCTCAGTACTTATAAGTATCATCTCATAAGCTAATATCTCTGTACCCTTAGCTAAAGCTACAACTGTTTCAAATATAGGTATAGGAGAGCTTCCTTGATATTATGCAATTCGATTTTTAACTAAGGTTGATTGTGAAAGAGTATCGTTCGAGTTGTGAGATGTTTGAGAAACCCAAGAATCGAACTCTACAAAGGAGGATCTGATAGACATAGATGTTTGTAATTTGATATCTAGCTTAGAAATAATAGCTTGAGGATTAAAGGGTATTAATCCAGCTTCGCGGAATCCAGATAATCCATTTTGAACAGTTATTGATTGTAGGTATACTGCTTTGAAAGCTATAAGGAATTCGACCTTGATGATATAATTGATATGAGCCTTAATATACCCCTCAATTTGTTGGCCATATATTCGTTTTAAAACACTAAAACATCCGACATCGAATGGTTGAGTAATATGTGAAGAATGAGGAAATAATGAAAAAGTTATAATATTGTATTCTTTGCAATATTCTTGAAATACAATCTATTCGTAGCTTTTGTGTCCATCTAATACTAGTATTCGATAATTACTTTGTTTTCAAGCAATAGTATACTTATCGAAGTATTTAATCCACTCTAAACCTGTCTCATTATTCGTCCATCCATTATTAGTAACTTTAATCATTTAATCAAATAGGAGATCACTCTTAGTATATCAACTCGAGAGGTGATTTTTGTCTTTAACCATTAAAAATGGAGGAATACTTTTTCTTATGTTATTGATATATACAATTGTTATAGCCCATTCTCGATTACCTGGTTGTATTGCTTTGTTTCTATTATATCGTTCAGTATTAGTTACAACCATCCCAGGGCATATAATACCTATTATAAAGCCTGTTTCATCGAAATTGTAGAAATCGCAATCGAGAATACTGTATTTCGCCTATATATTCGATATTAATCGAAACTACCCTTCAATAAGCTTTGGATCTTCACAAAAAGCTTTTTGGAAATCATAAACACAATTAAAACGCATCTTTAATTCTGGCCGGTGTTGTACAAATCGATATGTCTAGAGCTTTCCAATATAATATGTTTTACAAATATTGAGAATATCATTCGCCATATCTTCTACATCACTCAATCGAGGAACAAATCCTTGTGTATCCATATCGAGAATATATTGAAGAATCACTTCTTCTTCTAATTTAGTTAATTTTTGAATTGGTGATCGATATTCCTGTAGCGGGGTTAAACTGTTCATTCGATTCCGAAGTATTGTTTCAGGGATATTGTAAAGTTTAGCAGCACTCCGGCAACTCACTTTTTTTTGATTTATTAATAGTTTCAATAACTAAGATAATCCAAGTTTCTTTTGAAGTGTTATTCATTGTTGATTGTTGATTAAACGCGTATTGAATTGAAGAGTTGCAAAATAGTGAAAAAGTGCGCGAGGCACTGATATGCGCGACGCACTGATAAACCACGTTAATAAAAATATATTTTCAAAAACAGAAATTAGAATAGCTTTTTTAAAATATAATAAACATTTTTTATTCTAAAATCTATATAATTTTGTATTTTTTCTATATTATTGTTTGAAATAGAAATTATGTGTGATTTTCTATATAATATATTTATTATATTATTGATATTTAATAAAAAAGAAATTCTATATTAATTAATTTGAAAAGTTTAATTAAGATATAATTCTTTATTATTATTAATATTGTATTTAGATTATATCAAAAGTTTTCTAATATTGAGATTTAGATCAATTAGAACTTTAGAAATATAATTTATTTTAAACAAATAATATTTTTTTAGTTTATTATAGTTTATATTTACGTATAGCAAGAATATTGTAGAGATAAGCCTCTAATAAAAAATCTATAATTAACATTTCATTTAATTATATTTATTGAATAAAAAGTTATAAAAGTTAAAAATTATTGTTTTTGGTATAAAAAGGGTGGTCTAAAAGAGGGATGGCCCGAAAGTAGAGTAGTAGACTTAATAAAATTTATTAAAATTATCTTAGTATATTGATTTATAATAAAAAGACATAAACAGAATCTTTTATTATATAATATTCCATATAAGATATCATCTAGTCTTTTAGTTAGACACATTACAATAATAATCTTTAAATCTGAAATCCTTGGCAAAAAGAATTTGCAGATGAAGCCTACTACTTGACGATTAGTATATATATATAATCATGATACAAATCCAGCTTAAAATCAAGCCTTCTAAATGCCTTATGAGTTTTGTGACCTGATCTTATCTCATGGTTTAAAATTTGATTCTGTACCCTAATTAATGTGTGTATAAATATTTACTACATTCTTTTGTACAAAGCACGGAAATTATATATCAGGGAATTCTCTCACTTCCGCATCGAATTTGAGTAAAACATGCAAGTGTACCCACAACCTCAGATATATAACCCAAACTATCGGATTGTGCAGAGAAGTCGAGTCCTTGAAATGTGGAATCATACAAATGATTGGGACTATTTTAAGGCGTTTTAAAAGAGGTCTGGAAAGAACAATGAGATCCTGCGATTTTGTGAAATGTGCTCGAGTTTGGTTTTAAATTTAAAAATAGTTCGATAACATCCCCTTTTGTCTCCCATTCAAAATCTCTAATCACCATGATGAGCGAGCCGCAGATCCTTCTGTTGGACGAGATTGATGAAGTATTCTGGTAAATGTATTTTCGAAAGATGAGATAACAGAGTTGCGGAAGTCGCGGCCAAAGAGCAGAATCTTCTCTTCCGCTGTTTACTTTGTATATGGCATCGAGGCTGAACTCGATAGTTCTGTTATGCGGTTGGATAGGAGTTTGGTATATATATTCAAACTCTATATATGGCTTCCGACATTTTAACAACTCGAACCATTTTTTCCACATTATGTACCCTCACAATATCAGCTCCACCTTGAATTGCCGCCGTCACTGTCGCTGTAGTCCCCCAATCCCTTTCATATGGATCGTTAACGTCGGTGATGGCAGCTATGAATCTTTTTCGGCTGGATCCTAAGAGCCATGGTAAACCTCGAAGGCCAGGCCAATCACGCAATTCATCCATTCGACGAAGGATCTCAAGGTTTTGACTTTGCCCTTTTGCAAATCCAATTCCGGGATCAAGAATGATGCGCCATCGCCGGACACCTGCGGCTTCTGCTTCTGCTACTCGATCTAGAAGTTCTTTTGCAATTGTTGGGATAAGCCCGTGAGGTTCATAGTCTGTAAGAGTGTTCATTGTCGCCGGAGTGCCTCTCATATGCATGAGACAGACTGTTTTTCCCAGTTGGGCCATAGTGGACAACATGTTTGGATCAAGTTGGCCGGAAGAGACGTCATTAATGATATCCGCACCTGCTTCGATAGCTTCCTTCGCAACAGATGCTCTGTAAGTATCGACACTAATTGCTACATTTTCACATGAATTTGATCGTCGAATCTCTTCAATCGCTGGTAAAATGCGTTGTAGTTCAACCTCGGGAGATACTTCAAGAGTATTTGGCGCAGTTGATTGACCACCTACATCAATAATCGTTGCTCCTTGTTCAGCCAACTCTGAAGATTTCTTTCGTAGAAAAGTTCTGTCATTGGGATTTTTTCCTCCATCCGAGAAAGAGTCGGGTGTGATGTTAAGAATTGCCATCACATGGGTTCGACGATTTGTTTTAAGGGCATGTATTGGACCTATGGATGAATTCAATGGAGTCAGGGTAGACAAAGGAGTTGTAGATGGCGGTAAAGCATTTAGATAATCCTGGGTAAACTTCCAGGGGGATTTTGGATGCAAAGGTTGTGCAGGAATAAGCCTACAATCGTATTAGCGAAAAATGTACTTCCAGACAAGATTGATATGAAGTTACTCTGCAAGTGGTCTCAAAACAAACTCCCGTTCAACCATACCAGGATGAGGAATTTGTAACCTTGGATGATCTACAATCTCATTTTCAAAAAGTAGAATGTCAAGATCAATATTTCTTGGACCCTTATCAATGATTTTCTTCCGACCCATCTCATTCTCAATAGCTTGAAGTTCATCCAATAGTGCAAGTGGTTCCAGGGTGGTTTCGATCTATTGATCAATATTAGCTAGAATCTTCAGAGATTTCAAGATTCAAATGAACCTGTTTCATCCTCTCGTAAAGCTGGTGTTGGATATGATGTTATCAAGCTCGTAGTCTAGAGAATCGGCTTCCCGAAATTGGTAGGCAAGTCTAATTGTAAAGTGCAAGATGAACATAATCACGTGGGTATGAATTGATACCAATTCGATACAGAATACAGACTTACTTCACAAGCTCCATTAAGAAAATTCTCTTGGTCAAGAACATACATAGGTTCAGTTTCCCATAATCCACTAGTTCTCTTCACTTTAATCCCCCTCTCTGACATTTTGTTGCAGGCCATTTCGATCCATGCCACTCGGTCACCAAGATTACTACCCAAAGCAATATATGCTAGTCGGACTTGACCTTGAGGTTTAGAGAGTTTCGTAACATCATTTGCACTAGGGTGACTTGTTTTGAGTGGATGTTGAGTCCATGGAGTCGGCGATGAGTTCGTATTATTAGAGTTATAGCTTCGGGATGTTGAAGTTGTGAAGTTCTTGAATCTGAATTTGAAAAATCCATTGAGAGGCGTCTTGATGTATGAGTGGGGGGAAACCACACCTCGTCTCACCAAAGAAGGCAATATAAAGCCTCTCATTGACGTGGAGTTTTCTATACCGTGTAAGTATATATACGAATATTTATCTTTGATATTGGCGAGGAAATATGAGATTTGAGGTTGTCCTGTTTGGTTGATATAGTCAAATGGGTTTCCGTATTCAAGGACTACGGCGGATTATAGTATGATGATTGACCAATGATTGACCCATGCCAAAGCATATTTTAACGATCACTCTAGACATTCTCAGAGGATTATCTGTTTTAGTAACGATGTATGACGATACTTGAGTATCAATTATAGTTGAAGTGAAAGTAACAAAATCATCGTACTACAACATTCCCATTCCCATTCCCATTCCCTATTCCCGTTTCCGTTTGCTTGAAACATGCCAACGTTGGATCACGTGCTCATTATGCATGCAAATCCAAATAAGGTTTAACCCGACGCTAACAGACATACCGAGGCAATTTCCCCGGATGAATCCTTTCTTTCGATGGGGGTCAACTGTTCCGAGGCTTGTAAGAATTAAGAATCTCCTCAAATAATCTCACCTGTCCTTCATTCTACAGGACTTCTTACAACTTACTACTGATCAATCGTTTGTTTAATATCATATTCTCATATCTACATCACACACATCAAATACATCAAATACATCTATTGATATCATCACAAACAAACCCACCGCAACAATGGCTTCTAAACGTAAGTAAACGATCACACATGCCAACAAGATATATGAAACCCAACATTAAAGAAATCAACCAACTGACTTGTGTTTCTCTACAGAACAACTTCGTACAACGGTCACTGATCTTCTCAAGATCAACCATCCTATTATCCTTGCTGGAATGAATGTTGCTGCTGGTCCAAAACTCGCAGCAGCAGTCACAAATGCTGGTGGTTTAGGTGTTCTTGGAGGTATTGGCTATACTCCAGATATGTTGAGAGAACAGATTGCCGAACTCAAATCATTTTTGGATGATCAGAATGCTCCTTTTGGTGTTGATCTTTTACTTCCACAAGTTGGAGGTTCTGCGAGAAAGACAAAGTAAGCGCTGGTTGATTTCTTTCTCCTTATCTTGACACTGGGTTTCTCTGTCTCGACTTCTCTTTTCATGGTATACAATCGCTGACACTTTATTTCTAGCTACGATTATACCAAGGGAAAGCTAGACGAACTTATTACCATCATAATCGACAGTGGAGCAAAACTCTTCGTTTCTGCCGTCGGAGTACCACCCATACATGTTGTTGAACGACTACACAAAGCTGGTATTCTCTATGCCAACATGATCGGACATCCCAAACATGTTAAGAAATGCTTGGAACTCGGCGTTGATATCATTTGCGCACAAGGCGGAGAAGGTGGAGGTCATACAGGAGATGTTCCCACAACTGTTCTGATCCCAGCAGTGGTTGAGCTCTGCAAGGGAAAGACTAGTCCTATGACTGGAAAACCCGTGCAAGTCGTTGCTGCAGGAGGTATTTTCAATGGAGCCACTGTCGCGGCAGCTTTAATGTTGGGCGCAAGTGCTGTGTGGGTTGGAACTAGATTCATCTTGACTGATGAAGCTGGTGCACCAAAGGCTCATCAAGAGGCCGTGAGAACAGCGGGGCATGATGATAATGTTAAAACCATCATCTTCACCGGTCGACCATTACGTGTACGAACCAACAGTTACATCCAAAACTGGGAAGAAAATCGTGCATCGGAGATCAAGGAACTTACAGCTAAGGGTATCATTCCTGTCGAACATGACTTCGAGACTCTTGGTGATGATATTGATGATGATACCATGGACAATGCACGACCTTTCTTGATGGGTAAGGCAGCTGCAGTTGTCAATGAGAAGAAGAGCGCAAAGGCTGTGGTTGATGAATTGGTTAGTGATGCTGTAGCATGTATTCACAAGGGGGAGAAATTGACTGCGAAGTTGTAAAGTGGTATTTCAAATGACTTGATGGGTTAGGTGGGGACCGTGGGGTTTGAGGGGGGGTCAGTGTTGTTGAGATGAATCAGACCATGGCACGATCAGAATGGCTGATGCGCTTATGGATGAACTGATGGATGTTATGCGATTGTTTGAGGTCTGCATGACTATTGAATGTTTCCGTCAAGCTCAGCTCAAGCATACAGATTTTTGATAAACGGAATATTAAGCAAGGGGTTTGGGGTTTATTTTTGGGTATTATACCTATCTATCTATGCTAAATGCAATTACAATGTGATGGAGTTTCATATATCTTTCTTATCAAATGGATTTATTACCTCCCTAGTACTTATCTATCACGTTCATATACTCTTTGATTTTTTAGAACCGTATTTGATTGAGAAGAATTGAATCAACAACCACTGGACAGTTTCATGGTCAAGTCACGTGTTCTAGTGGTGATTTGATTTCATGTGATAGGATTCAGAAGGGTCGCCACATCTTTTTCCAATTTAATCTCATATCTCTCTCTCTCTATCTCTATCTCTATCTCTATCTCAATCTCATACCATTTATGTTCACATGAATCTACATCTACTTGTATATCTCATTTTCATTGATTACTACATTCATCTACGCATAACTACGCAAATGCAACCTCAAACTCCATTTAGAATCTTCATACAATGAAGAATCTTGATTGGATACTGTAATGAATGAGGGGTCAAGCTAAATCAAACTCGGATCTATCGGGGGATAGGAGATAGGAAACTAATGACGTCGGTTGCAAAAATGAGAAGAGGAAAAAATATTGTATTGATTGATAAACCTTGATATACGTACAGTAAGACTATTCTTTTATTTGGATATGAACTTGAACTTGGACTTTGATTTGTCTTTTTAATTAAATTTATATTTACATTTGTGTATCCAACGCGATTACCTCTTGATACCTCGCTGTTTCGAAATCCTCTGTTGGTATCTGAATCGCCTTGTTGGTTGGATACGAACGATACTTTGACAACGATATAAAAACACCCAACATTCAACGCCATTCATCCACATTGCAGAGACGAATTGAAACTATATTTCGACTGCAACCCTCATTTAATCATCCAAAATGTTTGGAATATCATATTGGATAATACCTATATTTTCAGGAATAGTATGGCTTGCTATGCTTCTTGCCATGTTATTGACATGGGCCGTCGCAGATGGTGCACCAGTAATTACACCTATGGACCCAGGACAAACCATTGCGTTCGTTTTCTCATTCCCATTTTCATTCTCTCATATTCAATAGTATAATAAACTAATAATTCATATAGATATATTTCAGATATCGGAGCTCATGAACTTCAACCACTCTTCATCGCCATGGGGACAGTCACCGTCGTTACTTTTAATATTGTATTTATTTCCGAGAGATGGCTTCGACACAGTGGACGTTTACATGGAAATACATCGGTTTTTCAAAAAGTCCTATCGAGCTTGGCGATTCTCTGTTCGATTGCGGGAGGAATCGGTTTGATCTGTCTTACCTGTCTCAACGATGTTAAACACCATACTGCACACGATGTTTGCCTCGCTATCTTCATGTAAGTTTATTCTTCTCTTCTTCGCCTATATCATATCATATCATAAGATAATCAAACTAACCCCCCAAAGCGGCGGCTTCATCCTCTCCGCCATCTTCATCTGCTGGGAATACCAACGCCTCGGCTTTCACTACCGCCAACATTCGATCCTACGCATTTCCTTCTGGCTCAAACTCTCCTTCATAATCCTCGAACTAGGCCTAGCCATCGCATTTGGTGTCTGTAGTCAGAAGGATTACTGGAATACGGCAGCGGTCCTCGAATGGATCATAGCGTTGGTGTACACATTCTATGTGTGGAGTTTCGCAATCGATTTTGTGCCGGCGGTCAGATCGAAACATTTCTCGAGTACGGATACGGAGGTGGAGTTGGCGATGGCGATGGAGGGGGAGAGTAGGCAGAGAGGGTTTGCGGGGGTAGAACAAGAACAGAGGGCTTATGCGAATACGGGGAGTGCGGGGGGTAGCGGGGGTGTGAATGGGCATGGGAATGGGCATGGCAGGTATAATCCTGTGGAACCGATTATTCCTTCGAGGAATTTTTAAAGTCATCGTCGTTTTTTTGTGGATGATGGGGATGATAACGATGATTATGATGATTAATTGGGGTTTCAGCTTGATCTATTTTGCAAAGACACCTGGGGATCAGGAATTATACTCTACTATATTGATTCGATTCGGTTGAATGGAATGGTGGATCGGGATTATAGATGGACAAATAGGTAGATGGTGAAAAAGAGATAGATATAGAGAGAGAGAAGTGTTTTATATCCCAAGAGCAATAGAGGAATATGTATAGTATAGCATTGGTATTGGTATTGGCAATGGTTGGCGCTTGGAGTATCTGGTTTGGCTTTGGGTTGGTGTATGCATTATTATTGTTTGCGTACTTGTATAGAAACCGAAATGGAACGGGTTAGCGGTTGAAAGATAAAAAAGGGGAGAGGGCATATAGGGGGAAGGAGAAAGGGGAGAGAAAAGAGAGAGAGGGTACAATGAGAACAATAGTCGAGACATCAGATTTTGTGGTATCTTAGGACGGGATAGGGTGGGGTTTCGGTGGTCAATATCATAGTACTTCACTTTAGTCTTCAGAGATATAGAAATAAATAAAAAGAATATAAATTTATATTACTTTGTTTCTTCTGTTTCTATTGTTCTCTTCTTCCTATCGTTCTTCCTCTTCCCTAGTTCTTTTTGTTTCCTCTATTCAATTGTATCATATTATATTACTTCATACTACTCGAGTATACTATACTATACCAAGCTATATATATATTATCTTAAAAAAAAAAATAGATCTACTCAAGTGGCAAGTGAGTATCTGTATCTGTATCTCAGATATCACTCGAGTATATCATTATGTATTTATGTGCTGTGTACAAGTCTTGGGGAGCGATATTGAGGTTGGGTGGATGGGTGAATGATCATGTTAGAATGGGGTTAGGGGGAGAAATGGAGGAGGGAAGGGAGGGGGTGGATAAGAAATGAGAGTAAGGGGATAGATGGGTGGAAAATAGATAGGAGGGTATTAATGGGAGAGAAAAGGAAAGAAAAAGGGGGAAAGGAAAGAAGAGGGAAAGGGTAAAGATGGGGAAAAAAGAAAAGAAAGAGAGATGTTGATGGAGGTAAAAGGGGAGGTAAATAAATGTACATCAATCGATGAGATAGGATAGTGAGGAATGATAGATATGCAAGTGTAGAAATTGAATGATTTGATGATAGATATGGATTTCTTGCTTTTCATTTTCATTTTCCTGTGGTTTTGGGAGGAGGAAAGAAGGAAGCGAGAGGAGGGGGGAAGAAGAGATTAAGAGAGAAATTAAGAACTGGGGAGAGAAAAGGAGACGATAAGTTAAATGAATGAAGCAGGATATACCAGACAAAGACTGAGAACATAGTACATCCGTGGTGCGGACTTGATATTAATCTTATCGGTTATACGCCAGATATGGCATATCCTTCCGATGACCATTTGAACATATACAATAATCCCGAGCGATTACTTTTTCCTTCCAATGCCCAAGCTGAATTCCAGCTTTCGTCATAGACATTCTTTATATACTCCATCTCGGCTTTCGATTCATAACGCCCACCTCGAAACTCATCGTCCTATTTTCGATCATATTACAGAATTAGTTACTACATTCTGAAATCACCAATCTCCGATTTACACCCTACATCACCACCAAACATCATCCTCACTATGTCTCTGCACCCCATCTCCTGTCCCCTCATATCCATCCACCGCCTCATCTTCCTCTGGCTCTAAAGCCTCCACTCCATTCCACTCCGAATCCCCATTGACACCGCCAAACCCCATTTGAACATCATTTACCCCCGGTACCTTCACCGGCCTCACTGAATACGGATCCACGTCAATATCATTAGACATCTCATTCCATGCTCCTCCAGCACCAGTATCAGCATCAACACCAGTAATGTCATAGCCATCTCTCCCATTCACAAACCTCTCATCATATTCCGGTCCTGTATCCATATTCGTATCCGGATTTCGAGCCACAAAGGTACCATCAAAGCCCGAGTCTGACGATTTCTCCGAATCAGACACAGAAGAAGACGCAACATACTCTTCATCTTTTTCTCCTCCCTCATGCCCTCCTTCATCATCATCCGAGTCACTCTCCCACGTAATCTCGTCCTCATCCTCTACTCCTACTCCTACTCCAGCATCCACCTCAATGTCAATCTCCGTACCCACCTCCCCCGGCGTCAAATTACTACCCCCTTCTCCACCCTGAGCCAATTCCTCAATACGAAGTCCCTGTGTCAACCCCGGATTCTTTTCCACCTCCTCCATTAACGCTTCTTCCAAATCACTTGCCAAATTCGGCGGAGCACCTAATCCTGCCGCGTCTTCAGTCCCAGACGGTGTATCCTGGTCGGAGAATGGTTGGCTATGCGGTAGGGCAAATGTGGGCGATGTGAATGGTGGGATTACACCAGGGGCTTCGCTTAGAATTAGGTTGGAAGGACTAGAACTGGTGTTCGTGGGGGAGAATAGGGTGGAGTCGTGAGAGGGGTGGATAAATCCATGGTGTGGATGGTGAGGTTCATGGTGGTGGTGTTCTTTATTTCCAGCGGTAGAGATTGCTCCCGGGAGATTTCTGGAGCGAGAATGATTTGGTTGAGAGGGATCGGTGGGTGTACTTGTTGGTACCTTGAGTTTAGGGATCTTGGAGAGGCGGTCTGAAGAATTTTGAGCCATTTTGCGTTTGGGTGAACTGGAACTGGGATGTGTATTGGTGTGGGATGTCATTATGTTTTCGTGTTTGTGATGTGAATTAGAGAGTCGAACTGATCATCAATCTGAGTGAGAGTGTGCTTGTGATTTTGGATGCGTGTGTATGAATACCGGTTATTTCGCACAGCAGAGATTGAAATCCTTGATTATGGACTGCGTGTGGCGAGAAACGTGAATTGAGATGTAAGATGTTATTAAATAATCAATTTCAAAAAGTCAAAGTGGAGAGACACTACTGAAGATGAGATGACAAAATAATAACAAAGAGACGGATTGGTGAGGCCGAGTTCAAATCCCCTCAAAGCATGCTAAAGAAGAAATAGGAGCTAATAAGCTTCGAGTATCGGAACGCAAAGAACATTCGATGGTAACGGCAGGTGGCATCATCCAATTGTAACAAATAAACATATAAAATGAAGACGTGCGGAAATTGATATGCGGAATGAAGTTAGACAAAGGGAATGTTTGGTGATCTAGATCAATGTTCCTGGGGTATTTGGCGGCTCTTTGTTTCATTATGAATTGTACTTATTCGGTATGTGTTGTTGGTTAGTATGGAGAAGATATGTGTGACATTGATGAATGCCATTAGACCATGAGCTATCAAATGAACCAGAGGATCAATTTCTGCTACCCTGAACACCGTGCCTATGCGTTTGCAAAATTATGAACGTGCTTTCCCTAACACCTAGTGCCGAAACCCTTGCGTTGAAGATTTATAAACAGAGAGCAATGCAAGAAACATCGATCCAACTAAACCATCCTCTTACTGTCCGATACTCACCCCAATACTAGACAGATACCAACATCTCGCCAGCTGTTCATCTGGTATGGTTTCCATCGTCACATTTGAAGTTGCCGTCCCTGTAACATTCTCCGCTTGGAAAAGTATCCTCTGATAATTACTAACTCTCAACTGTTCCCACCTGGGTGCACTCTTAAATTTGTATGTATTAGGATTTTTACTCCTTATAAAGCTGGTCCAATATGCTTGTATGGATGGTATAAGCGCAGAATCCGGTGCCCCACTGTTTCCCCAAATAGAACCGCTTTCAGAAGTATGCGTAACGCCATATCCACTAGCGGCTTTCGTGGATGATAGAACGTCCCAATGGTAATTCCAGTTTCCAATGGAAGGGGCGAAAAAATCGTGAGAGCCGGATAAGTAAATTCCAGGACAATTGTAACGCATCTCGCCATAAGCAAGGGCTGATGCACTCCAGTAATTGCCAGCGTTTGGATACTGAGGCCCTTCGGGGTAGTACTGATGGATGTTGTTTATTTGATCATCAGTGAGTTTGACAAAATTGTCTTTCAGAAAGTTAGACATATCGGTGCTGGAGTTTATGGACTGCGGGGTAAACACTGTGCCTTCGTTTGTGTCGTCACTGGAAGGAAGGAAGTTTTGATGTTAGCCTTTTTCGGTCAGGGCAAGCAAGTGATGTTTGAGAAGGGGACATACCCATATATCGCAGGGAGCTTAACATATTGCCCCGTGGCAAATAACTTGTAGGTGTAATCCGGAGTAAAGTCCCCATCAATAACGTTTGACCACATGAATACTGGGCTCACTCCTGCACCGCCCGGTGTTGGAACATTGATATTGTTTTTCGCAATAATACTGATATCCAAAGCTCTCAAACAAGCTAGAGTATCGGTTTCCCCGGCACAACCAGTTCGTTCAACTAATCCATCATACTGGTACTGTGACTCGCTGACCGTAAGTTGAGCACCAAAGGATTGACTCTCGGCTGCACTGGCATGGAAGAGTCCGTCATCACGACCTCCGTATGCGGCAAGTTGTAAATCTACTGAAGCAGCACCAGCACTTGCGCCTCCAATCGTGACATGGGAAGGATCGCCTCCGAACTTTGGGAGGTTATTACATACGCCATGATATGTGGAACGTATCCTGGTGTTGGGGAGCACTTACCTGCTTAACGTTCTTCTGTACCCATTCAAGTAGGAATCGTTGATCTTTAAGTCCAACATTTGTATCTCCGTTTGACACAATCTCTTTGCTAGTCAAGAAACCCCAAGGCCCAACGCGATAATTGAATATGACAACTACGATGTCGTGATCACCTGCTGCAATCAGGCTAGTCGCATTCATTTTTGGGCTAGCAAGGCTATTGAAGCCGCCTCCTTGAAAGTATACGAAGACAGGGTGAAGTTTGCTTGCATCGGTGGGTGCAAATAAGTCCAAAAACAGACAGTCCTCAGATGTGCTGGAAGAAAGTGAAGTTGATGGTGAGGAGTGGCATGCTGCCCCGTGCTGTGAATGCTTAAGTGAATGTCAACAGGAGAAAAGGTGGTCAAAGCACATACCATGTTTGCTGTTTGTAGAGTCTCATTAACCAAGGGACTTTGAGGAGCTCGAAACCGCAACTCTCCCAGAGGAGGGGCAGCATATCGTAATCCAAGCCACTGAGTGACGCCATTACCATTATTTGTCCCTAAAAACTTTGAGTATCCTAGATCAACAGTTGTGTTGATGGATGGTGTTGGTGTTGGTGTTGGAGCTGCGAATGCAGAGGCAGCTAGTGCCAGAATTGTCAGAGTATTGAGCATCTTCCAACTTGATACGCACTTTCCGTTCTTTGCTTAAGCTGCAATACGGGAGAATGGGGAACTGGATGGAAGAATAAAGGTTGTTCGGTGCAGGATTTCAGATTTATATGCATTTGCGGGGACAGCTGAATCACTGCACGGAAATTAGCCTGATGGAAGGTATTGACATGATTCACAGCATTTTACCGCTGCAGCACCTGTGTGAATAAGATACCGGGGCTATGGAAAGGAATGACAAGATCTATACATCCTGAAGGAAGATGAGTACACTAATACCCCTGCTACCGAGATTTACAAGGAGAAACGAGAGTCTTGACAAGGCTTCGCGATGGATGACCAAAAAAAAAGATATAAATATGATATTATACCGTAGATACGACATGCAAAGATAATGTCCTTGATCACCGGCCCTTCTCTTGCAGATGTTTTGAAGTCCGAAAGAAGGGTGGCGTACGAGAACCTACAGAAAACCAATAGTGTCTCACTCTATCGCTAAAGGTATCGCCGAGAATGCGGGGAAAACGATGGGAGCTACAAAAATGTTGTCAAGTGATATCAAGACTTGAAGTGAATGATGCAAAGTGGAACTTGGCGACGGCGACGAAGACATGGAGCAGCCATTTTGTACTTGTCGGATCATATCATTTTCACGATCGCCAAGCGTAAGGTGAGATAAGTCAAGATGAGATAGATAAGTCAAGATGAGATGGGATGGGATGAGATGAGATCCAACATAGCTAGCGAGGCAGTGTTATCACCCGATGTGACCCAAATGCACAAATGTGGCTTGGTACTTTCACGTGATGATGTATATTCCTCGTATAAAAAGGGAGTTTTCAAGGGTGCTGAGGACGAAGCTTTTCTACCCTTGCCGGAGCCAAGAGCTTTCAATAATTCTAATAGCAACAAACGATAAAACGATAAAACGGCTGTATCCATCCGATCTAATGATTGTTATCCAAGATGGGTCTACTGAACTCATCTACACCCATCAGAATGTTTCAAAATTTCCTTTAAGCTAATCCATGAATCCACAAATGCGACATATCTTTACTCGAACAAACAGAAGTCTCATAAACGCCATCGAAAGTACATGTCATCCCTAAAATCAAGTAAAACAAGAGTGTAAGCATGTAAATCAAGAGTATAAATAAAGACAGCATGTATGATTCGCTCTTGCAGTCGTTCGTAATTGTTCGGTATGCTCTGGAGTGGTCCAAGATGGGGAAAGAATCAATAATCCCAGGATCCTATTACGATTGCTTTACCTGAATTTTCGACTTCTCTTGTCAATGATTCTTCGACATTGAGGAGAATCTGTGTTGTTCTTATGACCAACTCTAAGACGACTCATTAGTAACCTCATCTTCAGCCCCGTACATCTCCGACATACCTTCATACTGAAGCTTGTAATAAACAGGAGCTTCCTCATCACGGCGAAGCAGAATCGGCGCGGGCGTTTCTTCCCTTTTAAGGACTTTGAACCTTAATCCAACATGTTTCTCGGTATCAGTCCACAATAGCCGCTGTTCATATTCCTCTGGAGTATCAAGATGCCTCTCATTTGCCTCAGCTCGATCCGACAGCCAGTCTCTGAATACTCTTATGACCCCCTCGCCAAGATTCACGCAGCTTAGGAACAATCCTCGTTTTGGGCCAACTTTAACAACATTGGTGATGGTACAAAGTTGTGAGAAAAGTTCATGCGACTCGAGATCGACGTTGTGGGAGACAAATTCTTCTTCCGATTTTGGTAAGAGAGCTGGTCTGGCCCCGCCTGCTGGATTTCGTGTCCATACCATTCTTTCTTCAGGTTGAACTGGCTTGAAGTGCGAATATAGACCGGACATCTTGCCTAATCTACCAGTATTGTTGACATCTTTGTATAGATCTCCCTCTCCAACAACGTCATCACTCAGCCCATCTGTTCCAAGATAATCACAAAAGAGGTATGGAGTAGTGAGTTTTGTGGAAGGATGATAACACTCGAGGACTAATTTGTGATCATTGAGAGATGCTGCTGCGATAAGGCGATGGTGGATGATTCGAATTATGAGGTCGTGGAAACGGAGGCAGGTACATGCGAGAGGGAGGAGTTGACGAGTAGAGAAGAGTGAAAGGGCATTGATGAGGAGCTTCAATATTGTCAGCCAATCCACAAAGTTGGGATAAAATATGATACTGACCTCATTGGGTAATGAAGCAATTCCGGTGAAACTATTCACCATTGTGTCGACTTTTGATATCAAATAGTATATAGTAAAACGAATTTATGAAGTTAAACTGAACCAAAACAATATCACTTCCAAGAAACCTCAGTCTTTATATCCATCAGACTCTCCGAGCAAATTCCAGCATTGACTTGTATGTGGAACTTGCATTCAGGAAGGTCCCGGATAAACATAAGATTCCTGGATAAGTCGGATGATATTTAATCAGGAGAAATTCCGATCGATATACTCGAGTAGGTTGTAGTCACATAGAACGATCTAGGTTTCTCCCTAACTCTATGAATCGTTATGTACGACGACGTATGCTCATATATACTCGAGAGTATATATGCATGTAATGTAATGAGTTTAGATGGTAAGAAGTCCTTTTTGAAGCCTGTGAGACGTGATTGAGTAACGCTAGACGATAGCAACTGTTGTGAATGATGATGGCATTGTGTTTGTGCCGTTTGAATACACAATTATCAAGTATATAGAGTATGTGGTGTAACTGCTTCTTGTGATGATAATGATGTGTTGATGATGATAATAATGATTATCATGAGAGAAGTACCGGTATGCAATTCATCAATGTCATGTCATCATTACTCGAGTACATGATGCCGGTACTTCACTTCTCCAGTCGGGAATAATAACGGAAGATAGAAAGGTGGAAAGATGAAAAGGAAAGACAGAAAGATAAGATAAGAGATCCCTTGTTGTTTATGCCGAAGTATATACTCGGATCACGTGGTTGAATTATCATGGCAGACTTCAACTTCGACTTCCCTTCCTTCAATCCATCAGCACAACCACAACTACAACCACAAACAGCATTCTCTTAGTTCTAGGTGTCGCTGCCAAAAAAACTTGTTCGAGTGAACAATATTAGTTGTTTTGTGATCGTTATAAGCACATTCACCTCCAACAACAAAGAGTTCTCTGTGACATTGAACCTCGGCTCACTGCAGATGACCAGGACTCATCAGTAGATTACATTTTTATATATTACACTTTCGATTTTACTTCTTCAAATAAAGCTTGAAAAGAAGTCCTAAGCTTCATAACCATGAGTCGTGGATACCCTTTCATGTTCCCCAAGTTTCGTCGTCCTGCATGATCTCTAGAAAGCTCACCTCCGTCATCAAGCCAGCTCCCTTCATAATGCCACTTACGGGGCCGTTCTGATGCTCAAGTATAAAGTCATGAATCAGCAATCTCAAAGTTAAGTAAGTTGAATCAGTTGAATCAGTCAGTCAGCTCGATTGGAAGTAGCTGAGTATGCAATTTTATCTTTAGAGTTTCACTCGAGAAGTCTAGCATCATATACTGGCTCTATAACAAATTCGGCACTTCAACGGGGCTTGAGGTCTGGTCCTACCGTTTGGATTGAGAAAGTCTTCTGAGGTGGTAAATTGAAACAACTTCAAAAGTCGGAGTTCTTTCAGGAGCGACAAACAATTGAGAATTAAACAGGGTCCATCCAATGAGCCTTTGTTTCTACACTTCAAAGAATTCTGGGAACATAAGCCAACACATCGCCATTGTTCCTAGTATTAACATTAGCATTATTCACACTGGGCAAAAATAAAATCGTTTTTCATGAGAACAACATCATCAAGATGACTATAATAATCTCTTGTTTTTCTCTATTATCTTCTCTCCTCATCCATTCACACAGATCAACACATCAACGTGCTCAAATATCAAGATGAAAATTGCAAGCAATTCCGAAAATCTTTGCAGCTCAATCAACATCTCTGATCACCGCACAGAAGAAACACAATTTGAAAGGGAGGGGGTAGCAAACGACAAACATGAAAAGCCTCTGTGGGAAAATGACAACCCCAATCCATGGGTACCTTTTCCCAACCAGCCAACCTTCGTTGTGAAATTTGAATTCTACGCTTCACGCCTCGAAGAACATATCAACGATCCCGAACCGTACCTCCCCGGACAAATCCACGGACTCGGACTCGGGTGTGAGTTGGGCCCAACACACGTGGAAGCAGTCTACGAAGCTTTCGAGAAGAATGATATTCCCTCCACAATTGACTACGGAAGCGACAAAACAATGGCTTGGCCAGGTCACGACTTCCAAGAGGAATCATGTATTCCCCTTTGGCAGATAAAAAGTACAGGCGTCTCGTGGAAGCCTCTAAATTTGGAACGGTACGCCGTTGTTGCCATGACAGTTGTCTCTCCTGTCTTTCGCCTCGTAGAAGAAAACTACAAAGAGGTAGACCGAGTTGTTGACATAATCATTCAAACATTGCGAGTTCAGAAGGAAGAAGGTCCAGGAATCAAGGTCAGATGTGAGAGCCGCAAAGCTTTCCGCTGGCCGGACAATAAACATCACCTTCCCGCAAATTTGAAACAAAATTTGGAAGCACGCTTCTCGCATGTTCCTCAGGTGGATCAAAAGAGACGTGCCGCCTTTGTCAAACAGACTTACAACAGGATGCTCTCCACAGGACCGCCGCAGCAAAGTGACTCTCCGACCGAGAGACCACCGGTGTGGAAAGCCTGGAGCTCCTACATAAACCGATGATTGAACTAGTCGCTTGTCAGATGGTTGACTTAAAATGATTGACTTGAAATGAAATCGAATCCACAAAAAATCAATGGCACATTTTGACTATCGACCACGTGAATGCAATACATTGAACGTGATATGAATCTTGACATGCTTGAATTATATGATATGTTGAGGAATTTCGAATCTGCCTCAGTTCTCCCTTAAGATATAACATCGACCATACTCTTTGAGGTAGGATGCTCAGACTCATGCAAAGCATGCGAAGGAAGCTGGATGGATTCTCGTCCCGTCATGCATACACTCATTGTGTGAAATAAATCTTAGTCAGGAGTAGCGAAAGGAAGGTGATCCCCCCTGGTGCCCTAACTCTCTCAATTCGCTTTACGTGTTCCGATTACATTCGCATTTAACTAAACCTATGTTTTCATTGTGTCTGTCCTCTTCCGCTTACCCCTAAATAAACCACCCCAGCGTTCTCCAATCCCGTTCAATTATTTAAATATAAAAGCTCCACTGCATCCACATCCAAACCAGCGTTCCCGTAGACACCACCATCGGTCCAGCCAGTCCCTTCCCCATTCTCGCAGTCCCAAAAACCAACCACTCGCCCATAAAATGTAACCACGCAACAATAAACGTAGCATACCCCAGTTGATATATTTGTGGGTTACTAATATAGTATGCGGTTTGGAGGCGGACAATCGCGGTAATGAGAGTCCATGTTCCAAATGTGCGCGAGGAGAGAGGAGTGGCGGATGTGGTTAGGGGGTAAGATTGTGAGGTGCCTGTTCCCTGGGGATCGTTGGATTTGGGGATGGAATTGTAGATTTGGGAGTTGAAGTGGAGGGTGAAGTAGCATTGGATGGTGTTGAAGAGGGAGGTTATTGATATCTAGGGTGAAAGATTAGTGCTGGAATTAGATATTGATGGGAGGGAGTTGGAGATAGTGGTATACTGACGAAGAGAAGCCATTGGGGAAGTACACCTTCATGCTGAGGCAGGTAATTGTTGAGGGTGGTGAGGAGACTCATGTCGAAGGAATTTGCTTGAATGTTTTGTTTGCGGTGTAGGTAATTGAATTACGGTGTTGATCTCTTCTTTATTAAAAGATGTCCTCAATTCATACAACTCGTGTAAATATACTCGAGTATTTTAATGAAGGCCTTGAACCAGAACCAAAAATAAAATAGATAAATAGAGTTAAGTTGAGCCTTATACAGGGGTTCGGGAAGTTCTCGTCCCGTCATGACCAGGTTACCGGTATGTTACTTACTCTGGTATGACTAATCAACTAACTACCCTTGCACAATTCATTTCGATCAAATCTCAACAATTCACTCTCTTACAACGAGAGAGAGATTTCCCCACCACTTAACTTAAATCACTGGTGACAAAATGGTTCTTGATACTGTTCTGTCATATGTGCCAAAAGCTATCCTTACTGGCTTGGCTGGTATTGGAGCTTTCATCGTCGCCGGCAAAGTTATAAGCTATGTCCAGCTTTTATTAAGTCTATTCGTGCTATCAGGAAAGGATGTAAGGATCTTGGATGCCCCATGAACCAATTTTTGTGGTTTTTATATGGCTGGCTAATCAAAACAAAACAGCTTCGCACTTATGGAAAGAAAGGAACTTGGGCAGTAGTAACTGGAGCTTCTGATGGTCTCGGCAAAGAATACGCAATCCAACTTGCACAGAAGGGTTTCAATATTGTTCTTGTCTCCCGCACCGAATCGAAACTTCAAACTCTCGCCTCTGAAATCCAAACCAAATATGCCGGCTCAAATATCCAGACCAAGATTCTTGCAATGGATTTTGCTGCGAATAGGGATGAAGATTACGCAAAGCTGAAGGCTCTTGTTGATGGACTTGATGTGGGAATTTTGGTTAACAATGTCGGGCAAAGTCACAGCATTCCCGTGCCATTCATTCAAACCCCAAAGGAGGAGATTAGAGACATTATTACGATCAATTGCACTGGTACACTTCGAGTCACTCAAATTGTAGCACCGGGAATGGTTCAGCGCAAACGCGGGTTGATCTTGACTATGGGATCTTTTGGTGGATGGTTACCTACTCCTCTACTCGCTACTTATTCTGGTAGTAAGGCATTCTTACAACATTGGTCAACATCCCTCGGAGGTGAACTCAAGGGCACTGGCGTCGATGTCGAATTGGTCTTAAGCTACCTCGTTACAACAGCAATGAGCAAGATTCGACGTACCAGCATGTTCATTCCAAACCCAAGGACATTTGTTAAGACTACTCTGGCTAAGGTTGGTAGAAGTGGGGGAGCTCAAAACATGGCTTATACGAGTACACCAATCTGGGGTCATGCATTGATGCAGTGGTGGTTGGAGAATACTTTGGGTGTTGGAAGACCTTTGGTGGTTAATCAAAATAAGGTTATGCATCAGAGCATTAGGACCAGGGCTTTGAAGAAGGCTGAAAGGGATGCTAAGAAGGTTTGATTCAATTAATCAAAAAGCAAACCTGGTTAGGATGGGCAGTGATTATGGAGGTAATCATTCTAGATGTGGTGAGGATGAATGAAATACTCAAGTTCCTAGGTACATCATGCTAGGAATTGGGTGGCAGATGAAGAGCATATTATGACGATGGAGAACTAATGAGAAGCATTACATTATATATCTCATCTGGTTATTTTGGAATTGGAAAAACATGAAGATAGTGAATGCTATTATATATTAGACATCGGAGTTTTGATCAGTAGAAAAGGGCGGCTGGAAATGATATATATATTCATTCTCATTATCTATATTGTGGAAGACTCTTCTCTTCTTACTAAAGAGGTAAAACAACTTCACATATCCAATCATCTTCCTTCTTATTCCATTCTACTTTTCACAATCTCCTTTCATTGGCTTCCAATAAAACTTGCGCAAACCAACCAAATTCTCTAAACCAGTTATTGTTTTTCATTGATGTCACGTGCCTTGTGATTATTTATCCTGGAAGCTTCGACCGCGTCGCGAGGCTCATCCATAGAGAGTAGAGTTGAAGCTCAGAACAGAAAAAAATATACAGCTGCAGGTATACAATCAAAACCTTACCCTCGATCAACCTCGATCAACCTCGAATTATAAAGATATTTGCCTTCATCACACAATTTCGACCATTATCAACTCATCGCAACCCAATCGCTCTTTTCTTCATGAAGTTTTTCTAATCTTTAATTCCATCTGCAGAATTCCTTCTTGCGACAGTATTTAATTGGAGCTTGGTTAATTGCCAGCCAAAAAAAAATAAGATAAAGATGGCTCTTCCAGGGACACCACAAAGGCCTTTACCGGGTACATATTTCATGACACCTGCTCCTCCGAGATTCAATCAACCTCCTCCACCGCAACCTCCTCTCTTTCGACCACCACAGCCGTATTCTGGGCTCGAGCCAGCTCCACCTCCAGATGGCCCAATACCTTCTCCAATCCAAGCTCAAATCATACCGCAGCCTCTATTGCCCATATCGCGAGCTGCGAGAACTATCAATGAAGTTCTGCAAAGAGAAGCAAGCTTTCCCGATCTCGATAGCTATGTCAGACGTGAGTTTGACTTGGGATTCTTTTGGGGAATATGACTAACCTTTTTGTAGAGGGGATTTCTTCCGACTATGAACTTCCATCCCCTACCTCTGATCCTGCCTGGGTCCCTTTTCAAAAGATGAGAATGTACGATATTCCCGACACGATTTACGACCAATACAATAATGCTGCTTTCGGGACATCAATGGGTCTTTTCGCAGAGTTAAATCATGCATGGGCTGCTATTGATAATGCGCTATATCTGTGGGACTATACAAGTCCAAATCCAACGTTGAGAGGATTTGAGGATCAGCCGAATGGTATCAGAGCTGTGAAACTGGTGATACCGCGCAAAGGAGTTTTCATTGATGCCATCACCCATATTGTGGTAGTCGCAACCACTCAGGATATCATTTTGTTGGGTGTCGCAGATGCGGTTGATGAGCATGGAAACAGAAATTTGGAGCTTTACAGAACGGGCATGACTCTCTCTATCAGAGGACTCGATGTCACAGTGATTGAGGGATCAACAGATACAGGGCGCATATTTTTCGCAGGAGGAGCCAACCAAGTTTACGAGCTTACGTATCAGAATGAAGATAGATGGTTTTCGAATAGAACTGGAAAGCTCAATCACACGAGTCCTGGATATACATCTTTAGTTCCTATTCCTTGGGGTAGGACGACGACTGAGGTTGTAGTGGATGTGGTTGTGGATGATACACGGCGCCTTTTATACACCCTTTCCTCCGAATCCACCATTCGAACATTCCACATGGATAGTCCTACTACTTTAACACAGGTTATTGAGAAAAAGCGACAAGATGTCTTGAGAGATATCTCCCACATGATTTCGTCCTCGCCCCTTCTCTCTTCTCAAATGCGAATTATTTCAATCAGTCCCATATCTGCAAAGGAAGGACTAAAGCTTCACCTTATGGCCACCACTACATCCGGATGCCGCTTGTTTCTCAGTGCTACTCGAGGCTACGCTTACGGCTTTCAAAGTGGCCAGGGGGCTCCGCAAAGTATGCAGGTTCAACACATCAGATTTCCACCCAGGCTTGATCGACCGGGAATTAGACCTTATCCTGGACTCGAACCAGCGATTGAGACTAGCTCTGACGCCTTAGCTCATACACGCAAAGGTCTTCGATACCCCCCAGGCTTCTTCTTCTGCTTTGTCTCCAAGGAGACCCGTGATGGCAGTGACGCTCTTTTCTTGTCAGCTCCAGATACTGGTCGGATAGCAGCACAGGCACGAGACATGGCTTCTCAACAAGGATTGCGGTATCATGAATCAGCATTTTGGTTGGAGATGGGAAGTCGTGCTGAAGCTATCGGTCTTGTGACGAAACCTTTCGCGGCTTCGGAACAACCTCTAGGTTTCGGAAATGAGCTCGCAACTCAATTTGATTTGCCTACCCCGGAAATTGCTGTGATGACAAACTCTGGAATCCACGTCATTCGACGCCGACGTCTTGTGGATATATTTGCCTCGGCAATTCGAAGTGGGTTCGACGATGGAGAAACTGAGATCAAGAAGTTCATTCGACATTATGGTAGAGGGGAAACAACCGCAACTGCTTTGGCCGTAGCATGTGGACAGGGCGGTGATGCTTCTGTGATTGGAGAGAGGAGGATAGCCGACCCAGAGACAATTGAAGCTGCAAGGAGAGCCTTCGTCGAGCATGGTGGACGAGCATCTATGGACCAGAATCTGGTTTTCGAAGGACCTACCCAAGCAATTGAGAACGTACGACCTTCCTCGAGACACGACGGACTTGCCCTCTACATGGCTAGGTTGGTTCGTGGCCTCTGGAAATCCCCTGTCATTAAAATGGAGACAATCCAGGAGATGGTTGCCATAAAGCCAACAATTGACACAAAGAAGCTAGGTGCGGTTCAGGATGAGCTTATGAAATTGTCAAAGTTCTTGGAAGACAACAAGACATTCATCGAGGGACTGTCTGGACCCGAGGGTCTCAACCGTGTCACAAGTCAACAGGAGGATATTGCTCTGCAAGGCGAACACCAGGCTTTGCATTCACTACAGATACTCAACACTAGCATTGTGGAAGGAATATCTTTTGTACAAATGTTCTTCGAGGAACGAGTCAATGATATTTGGGCTGCGTTGAATGACACAATCAAGCAACAGCTTCGAGAACTAACATTCGAATTATTGTTCTCCACTGACAACGGAAAAAACTTGGCAAAGTTGTTGGTAAAGGAAATTGTGAATCGCAACATTGCCCAAGGGTCAAACGTTGACACGGTCGCTGAAGCTCTCAGGAGACGATGTGGTAGTTTCTGTAGTCCTGACGATGTGATTATCTTCAGGGCTCAGGAACAGTTGAAACGAGCAACAGACATCGATTCTTCCTCTGATCACGGAAGAGCACTTCTCAACGAGAGCGTTAGATTGTTTCAGGAAGTCGCTGGTGTCTTATCCTACGACAATTTGTACAATGCTTGCTCTCAATTTTCTGCCGTTTATTTCTATGCTGGTGCCATCAGCCTGGCACTACTTGTTGCCCATGAATCCGACCGTGGCAACAAAGCTCTGTCGTGGCTTAACGATGGCAGACCTGCCGACGATTATCGAGCAGGGACTTTCGATTTCCGCAAACAATGCTACGAAATTGTGAAAGAGATCCTCACTGCGGTTGACACTGCCACTGGGAATGCACAAGAAATGGTCGATGGTAGACAAACGATTTCAGCTCAAATGCGTGCAGAAGCCCATCAAGTGGTTGATGAATCAGACGATGAGGTCTTCCAATATGATCTGTTTGATTGGTACCTTGAACAAGGCTGGATGGACAGAATTATTGCAACCGATTCACCATTTATCGTCAAATATCTTGAGCGATCTGCAAGCGAGAGTACGGAAAATTCCGACTTGCTCTGGAAATACTATGTTCACCGAGAAGACTACTCTGCCGCTGCTGGTGTACAGCTTACTTTGGCTAAGAGTGAACTTGCAATCTCCCTGCAAAGAAGAATTGAATACCTTAGTAGAGCCAAAGCAAATGCTCAAACACAAGGCAACACCGTCCACAGACAAGCGCGACAAATTATGTTACATGAGGCTGGCGAGTTACTCGATGTTGCTAGTATTCAACATGAATTACTGCAGCGCTTAAGAGCCGACACTAGGATTCCTCAAACAAGAAAGGATACTGTGGTTACAGACCTTGATGGCGCCATTCAACCACTCTCCGTCGTATGTTTTTCCCCACCTTGTATCAGTTTTGTACACTGCTAACCCCTACAGCTTTTCAACGAATATGCCGACCAAGGCCAATACTATGACCTCTGTCTCCAAATTTTCGCAGCAGCCAATCATCACAATCAGGCTGATATTAGGACGATGTGGGAACAACTCCTGCAGTCAATACAAGCCCGTGTTGAAGAAAAACCACAATCACAGACTGAGCGTCCATATGAAGCTATCGTCAATATCATCCGTGAAATGTCGCAAAAGCTTTCTGGATACGAAATTGTTTTCTCCCCCCATACGCTCATCCCTCTCATCGAAACCTACGCTGCGGAACACGACCATCCAGGTCCTACAAACTGGGTTCCAGATTTATTTATCAGTGTGTCCTTTGATTTCGACACAACCATCAATATTTTAGAAGGAATGTTCTACAATGAAGTCAATCCATTCGTGGGACCAAATAGGATAGTTCTTGCAAATCACATTGTCTACGTGGCAGAACAATGGTATGAGGATTGTGTGAGACACAACAAGAGGGTTTTTGGAGGGGAGGAACAGAAGCATCAGATTGGACAGATCTTGGCAGAGTTGGGTGCGGCTGCATATAGAGATGATTCGGCTGGGAGGCAGAGGATTATGGATTTGAGAAAGAAGATCGGCTTGCGAGGATTGCGATGAGCTAGCCACCGGAAAGGATAAACGACTGGGACGAAGGCAAGGAGAGGAAACTTGTAATTGGAAAATCGAAAGCGAGTGCAGGGGAATTTTTCTTACGATGGCTCCTTGCCATGGATAACATTGGTGGACATAAATTGGGCATTGAAAGCTAGGAGTTGGGGTGAACTTGATTGTTTTGATACTGGATGAAGGGAAGGAGAGGTCGGTCATATTACACTTCTCTCGACTTGTGTGTGGGTAGAAAAACGTAGTTCACAGGCAGTAGTCCCTTGTGCTGACACGAGGACTGAATATTCGTGGAGGAAAAGTGCCGAAGATAGATGGATGATATGCTTTGTAACTTATAGATGATATAGTGGGTGCGGGTTGGTAATGATGATTGTGATGGTCGGTGGTGAAAAGTGAAAATGGAGGGACAAGCTAGTTCTAGTTAGTTAGTGGTGAGTGAGAAGTTTGAGAGGATGAGACTGAATAGATAACTTTGATTGCTAGGTGCTATGATGGATCTTCCATAGGTGCTAGGCGATGTGATAGTTGTGTGAAGTGAAAGATTCATTGTATGGTTCATGTTAGTGCATTGAGGGTCGCCTGCTGCCTGCCGCAACTAGTCGATTAGACTGGAGCTATTTTCTCTGTACATCGACCCTAGCCGAGAATAGGAGCGTATGATGAACTCCCCTCCCCTATCTTAGATGCCTGAGTCAAGACACATTTTCCGATTGCTTAAAAGGCTAGCTAACTAACCTAATGGTGCTTGACTCGAGTATATAAAAGTCGATTCGGCTCCCATGAGAAATGGGAAACCCGAATATTAACTCACTCATTCATTATCGTCAGCCAATGTAAGCAATCACCACAATGAATGGTCCAGTCTAGGGAGCTGGAAACGAAGTATTCATCATATCCAGTTCTGTAGATCGATCGATCGATTTAGACTGGACAGGTCGGATTTTTAGGGTATCGGTATTGGTGTTGGTATTGGTGCTAGTGCTAGTGCTGGTGCTGGTGCAAAGTAAGTAAGACTGTAAATGCTCTTCCTAGTCATTGCATTTGTAAATGCAATTGCAATTGTTGTTAGAGTAGGGATGAAGATTGGCTTGGATTAGATGGTGTGATGATTAGATGGCTTGATGGTTTGGTGATTCAGATAGGTAGGCACGATCGATGAATCAATGAAAGAAAGAATGACTTGTTAAGAACAGCCTAGTTTAACTACGGTACTCGTATTTTACTCACTACTCACTACCTAGACTAACTAAAATGCTCCGTGATTATAGAACCTACCATCCCGTAGGAAAAAGATTCCAAGGGCAGTGCCATCGCTATTGCGAACAGATCCTTGACGAGAGATCTCGAAACGTGGGATTCTGAGCACATGGCTCCCAGATGCTCAAACGACCCTCTCGAAGGAAGCATACTAAGAATGAATTTGCCGGGTGAGGTTGTTTTGTGGATTTGTGAGAATTTGGATACGGGAGACATGATGCTCTTTGCGGAAGCCTAGAGTAGAGTAGGTCATATGATGACACGGTAACTCCACCTTTTCCCTCAATCCTAGTTATTTCGAAAGAATGGGCAAAAATGCTGGCAGTTTAGTGTAAGATACGATCTGATTCGCACCGTACACAAGAACTGCAGTACTTCCTGCAAACAAACTTGCAAAATGATGAAGCTGAAGTCAGAATCCAGGCCATTTACCAAAGCAGACAAGGAACTTTTTCTGTCGCGTTTGATTTAGTAGTATCTGAAGAAGGTTTTTGGGAAAATGACGTTCGCGGCTTGGTTCTAGGCATCAAGTTTCAATATTGACTTCCTTTGCCGATTTCTGAAGGACATGGGAAGAAAGTACAGAAGTCAATGGATTGGAATTTGAGGTCGACCGAAACAGCAGCAAACCTTAAGGATATCACGCCTCTCAAGGTGACCTACCATCGTGAATGATGTAGTGGTGATATTGAATAAGTAGGCTTCGGGAAACAGATAAAGGACTTCCTACTATCCATGGGAACATACGGTGAAAGTTATCTTGACACATGCGTCTGAGAAAGCGATCGAGGCATACATTCACCTGTTCCATCTTCTGATTCGTCTTGCGGTCGATGATCCTCAATTGTGAAGTTTGCGAATGATATGCTCAAAAGAATCATCAATGGCAAGAACCTACAAATCATCATACGTGAATCTTGGCCTTCTTTTGGTGGCTTCTCTGATCAGCGACATTAAAATAACAAGCAAGGCTATGGGAACAACTGTCAAGGAGACAGTCACCCCAAGGTGTTGTATGAATGCTTTATCAATGTGGAAAAAACATGCCTGGACTAAGCTATATAGAACCTTCGGGTTTTTCATGGCATCGTCTCGAGAAGATATCCAAGGCTGGTAAAATACTATGTAAACTCCTGATGCTTTCAAATATCTTTAGGAACAGCAGTCGGAAATCTGAGGATCTTTGTCTCAATATGCAAACGAAGTCCTCAATCGTCATGGTGCTCACTAGGGAGATCAAATGATGTTGCAGATTCTATAAAGCATATCCATCTTATCGATTCATTTCCTGGCTTTCTCAAATCTATGGGCATGAGATTTTCAGAAGATGACTGGTTCACCGAATTTTTTAAATGGGTGTATAAAAGACAGTATCGACAAAGAGTATTCGAAGATGTCAATCACTCAATCGTGTATCTCCGCCAACTGGATGAGCAAGATGTAGGAGTAGTAATTGGACTTCGACGGATGTGGATTGACATGACCAATGGGGGATCCTTCTTTCCTGGAGGTAAAAATAGAAACCATTCGCAAGGCAATAGACGTAGAGGTAGAGGAAGAGGTGGTGGAGGTGGTGGAGGTGCCTGGAGGTAGATCTACTGCACTTTCAAGCCCTTGTGCGATTTCGAATGAGATATTCTGAATAGGATGTGCAGGTTTGATGATATAGAAGTCCTTACAACACAAATTTCTTTTCCTTGTATAAATAGCGAATATTCCCTATGCAAAGTCCAGATTTGGGTATGTATATGCGAGAAAGTGTTTCAGCGCTTTTTTGGCGGCGATGGGAAAATTCTCAACATGGTTTCAATAATCATCCTGCCAAACCTCCTTCCTATATCCTTCTGTCAAACGTGTATCTTCACCGTATATCTCCTGCCATCCCACAAATCCTCTATCCAGGACATAAACCTTTTGTTCTTTCTTTTCGGAGCCCTCTACAATATCTTCCCATTCTCCGTCATCAGCTTCTGCTTTCTCTGCTTTCTCTTCTTTATTTTTCTTTGCAGATTCCCTGATGACTCCCGCGCTCATGATCCTTTCCCTTTCACGTATATATTTCAATGCAGCACTGGGGCCTCTCTGCTGACTTAATGCGCAATGAAACACAACCGTATCTTTGTCTTTGAGCTTTCGAACCAATTCAGGGATCTTGTAGTCGAGCGTAGAGGATGGGATATGTGTGGAGTGTTTGATGTGGCCGCCGATGTGATCTGCAGTGTAGGTTCTAGTTAGTAATATGGAGGGGTTGAAAGGACGAGGAGAACTCTTTCATGACAAGAAACTAGGATGAGAGGAACAAACCATCGTCTCGCACATCAATAATAGCCAGATTCTGGGGCTTAGAAGGTGCATCGAGGTTCGAAGAGGTGTGCGAAAGAAGGATATCGGAGAGAGCTTTTGAGGACAGGCGGGGAAGGTTTCCAATTGAGATGGTGGACATTTTGCGCATATACTGTTGCGTTGAGTGTTGAAGTTGTATGTTGGTGAATAGATGGCAGCACGATTTCAGCTACAAACAGAGTGAAGGTGTAGAGTGTGCGGTTATTGGAAGTGAGTGAGTGAGGGAGAGAGGGGAGTGTGTCTCACAGCGTTAGAAATACAACGTCAAAATTGTGTACTGTACTTGTATTGCAACAAAATCTTGAATCAAATCAATTCCATAGGATTTTACCTTGGAATTTCTCACAGGTGACAATTGAGCTTATCAATACTCGAGTATATCATATCACTTGATTCAGTCTCGAAATAATCAAAGAATTGTTATAAAGTTTGTGCTTGTACTCGAGTAACAAGTCCATACCAGCACCAAAGAATTCAACAAATATCTACCCTACGACTTGATAACTTGATAATGGGTCAGTTGAGTACAAGTCAGTGAGCTGGGTAGTTGTCCTCATCTACTGAATGGAGTCAAGAATGTTGATTGATAGTTACCACAAGCCCAAAATAATACAAATTTTGCCAATTAAGCTTGTTTGTGAGAAGATCAATCTTGAAGTGTCAAGTCTGACCTACACTAAGTATCAAATCGCATCTTGGAGACAGTGTTTTAATTCTCGTCACTGTCAGCTCTGGGCGAAGTTCTGTACATTGTGGTATCATATCAATTCCACATCCTTTAACACGAAAATCGTTTGGACATCTATGAGTTTACCTTAATTGGATTCTACCTATCCTTAAGTAAGGGTTTCGGGTCTCGTATGCTTCATGTCAAGGTTGCTAGGCATAGGATAGAGCTCCCTTCTGATAGATTGAAATTACACCTATCTAACTACCCGCTAGCTTGTCTAAATTCAACAAGTATACTTATAATCCGATGGGCGATTTGCCTCTGAATGGTGAACCTCAGACGACTCTACCAAGGGCCTTCGCAAGAGTACTGCAAAACTTTAAAGAAGACAACCTTGACATCTGCTCCGGAAAGCCCATTCGATTTTCGATTGGTATCTCTCCCGACTGGCTCTGGAGGGCAATCTTTAGCGTTGAGCCATCGTTGGGGTAGTACTCAGAGATACAAATGAATGTGAGAGACAATAGCATGCTTCGAAAGAATCATTGTCCTCAAAACGTTACCAAGGACATATTCACACACAGACAAGGTTACTAGGAGTCTTAGGTTTTGATATCTCCGGACTGGACTAATTTAATATGCATACGTGTATTGTAACGCTTGCTGTTCTCCATCAAGATCTTTCCTGGGTAAATGACGAGATGATACCTGAGGGAGGGACTTCTTAGAGGTTGTTCATCAGGCTACGCTCGACTCTTATTGTCCTAGGTCGCTGGAAGAAGCATCTTATTCCTGATGCACACATTGTCTTGATCCAAATAGTTATCCATCTAAACGCAGAAGTTGCTACACAGGCTGGACTAATACTGCCAGTTTATCGTGGTTTACTCTCTCTTGAAATTGGAGTTGTAGACTTGTTCGACGTTTCTACTCTTAAGTATTGCGAGGTCTCCATTACTCGGAGCCATTGTTGTTAAATGCACATATCGCAAAATGAGAAGTAATGATTTCATGATGCGTCATTAATATTAACCTTATATTCCCTACTATTTACATAAAATTTTGATTTCTATATACAATCTCTCCAATTCCCTTCATCAAACTGGGCAACGTCTACCGTTCGTATTCCAACTATAAGGAAGATCATCAGTGGTCTGGATTTCCCAATCCACTGACCCAATAGCTGTGAGGGCAAAGAACATGCCAGTAGGATCATATTCCTGCTTCATCGCATACAGCTTATCATAATTGACACCGTAGAAAGCAACTGTTTGATTAGGCTCAATGAGATCAGCTTCGGACATGTAGGCACCCGAATCAGGGGCAATGTTACGGAAAACATCCATATAAGATGTAACGGAATTAGAAGCAGTCTCGATTTCGGCCCAAGTACTGGAAGCGGTGAATTCAACGCCGACAATGACGTGCATTGTGGTAGAACGCCAAGCGGGGAGAACAGCAGAATCAGTTGGGGGATCAACGGCAATACCGGTTCCGGAGACATGGAAACCGGCGATGAAGAAACCTTGCTCGACGGCAGCTCTGTGGGCAGCGAAAGTTTGATTGCGGAGATCATCGTCAATAAAGACAGAACGGGGCATGAGACGGGAAGCAGTCTTGACAACGTCGGTCCCAACATATTCTTCAGGGAAAGAAGGAGCCCAGGCATCGTGGCTAGAGATGATGATTAGTATCTTTAGATGACTGTTATAGTTGACAAGGAAAGTATGTCTGAGGAAGATAACTTACAAATTATCGGCATGGTTGTACCAAGGAGTATATGTGATGTTGAGATTTTCCAGAACATCAAACCAAGGCTTGAGGAGTGTTTGAGTCTCAACGACTGTCATATTTGGTGCGACGAAAGATTCCATGCGGAAATAATAATCAGTGCTACCAGCATAATCGGTTCCGATTTCGGCAGCGCTGGCTCCAAGATAATAATATCCGTAGGAACCAGCATCAACAAAGGTTTGAGCGTTATCGATATAAGCCTGGACACCTCCCCAGAAGGCGTCTGTGCCAGGTGTGTCTGCAAGGGTAAAGTTGAAGGTAACAGTTGTGGTTTCGAGTTTGGGAAGTAATTTGACGGTAAGAGATGTTACGACACCGATGGTGCTACCACCACCGCCTCGGAGCATCCAGAAAACGTCGGAATTGGTTTTGGAGTCACAAGTAATAAATTTGCCACTGGCAAGGACAACTTCCATAGCCAAGACTTGGTCGGCTCCCATACCGTACAGACTGCTCAAAGGTGAGTGACCACCACCGGCAATATAACCACCACCCATTCCTACGGCGAGGGCTTCACCACCAATCACAGTTCCTCCTAGGCTCTTGGCATACTCGTATGCCTGGTGTACTAGGATACCGGAACCAACCTTGATAGCAGGTCCAGTATAACCATTGGTAGCCGCAAATTTGGGGTAATAAGCTTTATCAGTGAGATAATGAGTCCACACAGTCAGTCCACCCTTGCCAGATGCTTTACCGTTAAAGTCGTGACCAGTATTCTTGATCACAAGGTGAAGGTCAAGATTTCGTGCGAAATTGACCGCGAGTTGGATTTGTGCCACGTTTGAGACATTAACAGCGTAAGTGGGGTAACCACCCTGCTCACAGGTGTTCGTGTAGTTAAATCCAGGAGGCATACAACTACGACCCTGATAGAGAGGTAGTTGAATTGAAGTTGGGTCGGCCTCGCTATACCATAGTTAGTAATCCTTATGTTTTCAAAGGAATTAAGCTACCTACTGTAATTCTGAAAAATACCAGTCTGCTGTGATGGATGCACATTTGGTTACATCATATTCTGGCCAGTCCGGGTAACAGACCGCAGCCAAAGGAGTAGTCTTGATTAAAGAACCACCAAGAAGGATATCGAGAATATCCCAAATCAAAGTGATGGGCCACAAAGCATCGCCAGGGAGAAGTTTACAAGCCCTAGTTGTTCTCTTCGCGACAGCAGCATCAGCATCAGCATCAGCATCAGTACCGAAGGCGAAAAGATCTGAGATAGATGCATTGCTGATGGAAGAAGCAACAGTATCGAGGACACCTTCAGTCAATTGAACCACTTCGCTAGAGAAGAGAGATGGAGTAGAGAAGGAAACAACGGTGGTTGTAGCGGGGCTTAAGGTAGATGTCACTATGCTTTGTGCCGAAATAACAGAACATAAGATAGCGACAGCTACCACTAAAGAGGACGAGGTCTTCATGACTATAATTTATCAGCGACGATCGCAAAACATGACGGGAATATTCCCAGGGTTCGAGATAGGGACTTACCTGATATGCAAGAACAGCTTCCTTCTCTGGATGAGAAAGAGAGCGTGTGTGAACTTGTCTGTGCTTGGAAGGTGGAAAGCGGCGTGCAGTGAAGTGCAGAGGATCGGGGGCTAACTATTTAACTGAAAATACCTTCATGGAGGGAACGCCTAGGTATATCGATATCTCGGCGTTGCTGACGAGTGTGTTGTCCCAATAGAGAAGGAATAGTGGAGATCTCGTGGATCTGGTCTACCCCATTTGTCGATATGTCCCACCCGTCGATATCAACGAATTGGATGACTATACCCGAATAGGCTGTCCTATTGGTTGAATGGGATGTATATACAAAATTTGAAAATTCCTATTTGTCGATATCGATTAAGAAAATAGTCTTATTTATTGATATTAGTATTTTCGATATTCTATATATAGATTATTTAATAATATATATTGGATATTTAAAAATATAGATATAATTTCTAATTTCTAATACTAATACTAATCGATATCGACGAATGGGATCATTCTATTCGTCGATATCAAAGTTCAAATTTTGTGTATATGTTCTATTCAATCGATGGGATGGCTTATTCGGGTAAAGGTTCTATTTCATTGATATCGAGAATAGGGTGGTTCTATTGATCGATGGGACACATCGACGAATGGGGTAGACCAGATCTCGTGGAGAATTTTTTTTCCCTTTCTGGCCGTCGCCCTATGTCAGGATTCGATTGGAAATAGCTTGAGTACGAGGATATTTCAGGATCTATCATTGAATCATCTTAGCAGAAATCGTGCCATTTTCAGATCTCGGACAATTCGGCATCAAACGTGGTCCTAGGGACATGAATTTGCTGGGGACGGCCAATAGTACTTTCGGCGAAGACACCCGAAAAGACATCGAATCCACCCCGAGCCCTGATCGATCCGGTGGTTGCATTGAAAGGCTAGAACCGAGTTGAGAAATTGAGATTAAGAATATGATGTGGAGACTTGATATCAATATCTAGCTCTTATAAATCCATAATCCTGCATTAATGGAGAATGATTGGTTACTTAGGCGAGCTAGGATTCCAGCATTGTGGTCAATACATCAAAATACCCCACCCATATTAGATTGATGCAGAATCAGTAGATTGGATCAAAACCTCAAAGTCATACGTTTTTTTCGTTCCAGTAACCTTTCTTGATAATTCCACTTTTGAAAAGCTTGTTTCGATATACTGCTCGCTACTTACGCCACTATTTACTCTATACCAAATAATGGTTTGTACAAACACTCTATTTACCTCGGGCATTAGGTCTCAAAGCTCAGGCTTGATAATGATTGAAGTTGGTTCTGCTTCAATCATTGATCTCCGTAAATAATGAACAGCGGAAGGCATCCACTATGGACTTTTTATCCACCAATGGCTTGGTATACACAAGGGTCTCAATGCGTTTCATGGACAATCCCAGTGGATTATCCATAACCTCAACCCAGATCCTAACCAACTTTCCTCTTATCGATGAACTTCAAAACTAGTCGATTTTGTTCTCGAATGTTACAAGTACAAAATCTTCATGAATTCAAGCTCTTCTCTTCCCACTGGTAGTCCCATATAAATCTACTTCCTAAGATGCATCACTGGACAGTGGATACATATTTGTGCTTGGAATCGGTACTGATTGCAACGAGATCAGACTGGCAACTTGTTATACATACCCTGGATTTGTTAGAGGTTTAATCTCCCGTTTAACCTCTTCTAAAGTTCCCACGCTTTTTCAGTGGCATTCCCGGAGTATGTGACATTGACAGCCCCGCTGTTACTTGTGCAGCTACCTACGCCGTTACGCTACCTTTCAGTGCATTAATTCTCTTGACTGATACCGGTAATGAAAATGTTACCTTTCCAAACAAATGCGACCTTGTTTACACTGTCCCGAGAACAATGATGCATGTGTAAGTTGTAGCGTCGTAGTCGGCAGATGCTTTGTTAATATATATCAAAGTATGCAGGAGTAAAGAGGGGTTGCAGAATCTCATATGAACTACCCTGTAATCTCCGGACATGAACAAATTGCCACAGATTGCCTTTCGGTTCGATTCTCGTCCCATCTTTGGCTTTTGTCACAAATTCGCGATGCAAGTTGCAACCGAGAGGCACAGTATGTACTTTACAAGACCTCACAGTCCAGGTGTTCCGTGTTCCATCATCCTGGTCATTCGCAAATTGGAGTTAATCTTTCTTCACCCGGATTCCTGGGTAAAGATTCAAATCTAAAGTCGACATCGTAAAAGGGGTTCACACCTCGGTTTAAATCACTATAATTGCTACGGAATTCCTCGATTCAACAGAAATATTTAAATTTGCCGAAGTCTATTGGCTATGATCTAAGCGGGGGAGTTGTCCGAGGTGTCCCCCCTTTACCATAACCCACAAGGCGAATTAGACCCGAACAGGACAACTCATCCATCTTTTATTCCTAACACCATGAAATCATTGACAATTAAAACCCCTGTGAAGTCGAAAATTCGAAACCTCGAGCCGTTCGTTTCAAATATGTCACTTTTGTTCGTCCTGCCGTCTCAATATTGTGACTGGGTTTGCCGCATGTTGGGACTTCTTCAACCCTTGAATTCCATGTGCTGATGGACCTTCGGTTGTTCCCACTGCCTCTCTGTTAATTATGTTTATCCATAAGATGCACTATTCATCGCGCGTCGTGTAAGGTCCCATTTTTTGATATTCAATTCTTGTTCCTCTTCTCAATTGTATCAGTGAGGGTGACCCATCGCCTTTTCTATTACACTTTCTTTCACATGAATTCCAGAGTGGAATTTGATTCAGTGACTGGTTCACCTATCTAATATGGCGACAGGCGCTGTTGATGTTGCAGATCTTCCCCATGATAACCTGCAGGCTCAAGCACTCGCTATCACTTTTGTTTTCCCTGCCATCGCAACGGTTGCGCTCGCTTTGCGATTATTTAGTAGATCTTTGACTAGATCTTTTGCTGCAGGTACGAAAGGGCTATTATTTGTATTCACCCATTATGATATGGGATGCTTCGATAATATAATTGCTAATATAATGCAGATGATTGGATTATTTGCTTTGCGATGGTGAGTTTCATTCAAAATTTATAGGCTATGAGATGAGAGAGCCATCTAGCAAGAGAAAATCGTGAATAACCGCGAACAAAAGAACAAAGATTTCCAATCAAACTTCTGAGTTGAGCATGCTCTAATTCTTGGGACGGCTGCTAGCAAGATCTTCTACTAATCTCTACTTTTTAGGTCATTTACTGGGCAGAGACATATACTTCAACCAAAGGTAGAGCCGATACATCACAAATTCCTGCATGCACGCAAATCTTTCTAACAAACATCAGTGATAAAATACAACTATGTCGGAGTTCATATCTGGGACCTTCCAGCCGATTGGGACTCTGTGCCTGGTGCAAAATATGGCTATGCGGTTGGTCTCCGACCTTGATATCTCAGCTCTTTCATTACTGATCTCTCCAGACCGAACTCATTTATAATCCCATCCTGGCCCTCGTAAAAACCTCTATCCTCCTCTTCCTTCTTCGTCTGACTGGTCAAAAGAGCAACGTCAGACGAACGATTGTGGGCATTTTGATCTTCAATGGTATCATGATGGTTACGACGTTTTTGCTCACGACTTTTCATTGTGTTCCCATTGCCGCGAATTGGTATCCGGCACTGTATCCCAATGCTGTGTGCATGAATTTCGCGAATTTCGTCACCGGAACAGCCGCTGTTAGTGTTTTCACTGATATGATGGCTTTGTTGATGCCAACGTGGATTGTGTATAACTTGCAAATTCAGCGAAGGCAAAAGATGATGCTTGCTGCTATATTGTCATTTGGTCTTATGTAAGTGCTTATCCATATCATCCCAGAAAGGTCATTACTTTTGGCAGGTCCAGCTTCAACTAACATACCACTGACTTCAGAACCGTCATAATTGGCATTATCCGTATCATCCTTCTCGATGCGTTCGATCGCCACCCCCCTGCAGACATCACTTACTCCCTCCTGTTCTGTATCACGACCATTGAAGTTGGGCTATCATTCGTTTGCGCTTGTGCACCCTCTTTAAAACCCATCATCGTGCGCGTCATCCCCAAGCTTTTTGGAGAAAGCAGCCGCTCGCGCAGTGTCAAAAAGTCTCCCGATCGATATGGAAATGGACAGGGACGGACAGGCCGACGACCGGAAGGTTACGAAATGGGTAGGAGGACAGCGCATCATACGGAAATTGGGGCCAGTGAAATGCCAGATGGAGATTATGATAAGGTGAGTGATTTCACCGATGTGGAGAGTGGTCACAGAAAGAAAGATGGGATGCGTACAGGTCAGATGGGAATTGCGGTGAGGACGGAAACGGAGGTGCAGTGGCATGATAAAATTTCTGTAAGCCACGGGAAATCAGCTAGGAAGAGCGATTGTAGTACCGAAAGTCTTGTATGAATGAATCATGGGTCACGACTACATATTTATGTAATAGGCAGGCTTTTTCATATGTATGGTGATTTTCTATCATTTGTCGTTTTATCCAACCGAAGTACTCTTTTGAAGTTACCTATACCTGCTCATAGAATCTATTATGAAGGAGTAAGGTATCGAACCAGGATTTTTGATAATCTGGACTATCATCCGAATTCAAAAGCGTCCAATGTCCAAAAGGGTATGATACTCTGACTTCGATTTGTTGATTGAACGAAAGTAGTGTCCAAACAGAAAAAACGACAAGTAATTAGTACGTATACATGTTCCTCCGAGTCGATATATTTTCTCAAGACCTCATATATCTATCTGTAATCTGAAATCCTCTCCCCCTTCCTCTTTTTCATGGACGTTTTTGCATTTTAAGTAGGAAATTTTCGTATTCCTCCGTTACTTCTCAAAGGACATCTAGATATTTCCCAGGATCCAGTGTTTTACTTGCGAGTCTCCCCTCCTTAAAACTCCCCTCCTGCTCCTTTCCTTTTCTCTCCTATTTCTAATAGTTGAAAAACAGAGCTTTCAACTTCCTATTTTCAAGTTGCTTCTAATGATTGAAACTCATTACTTTCTTTTTTAGCCTTACTACTTGAACTAGGAAGCAAAGAAAGGGAATGAAACTTTGATAAGATATTATATGCTAAAATATCATTTCATTTAAGTTGAATTAAGACAAGATTGATAATAATCTAATTAGATTATATAATATTTTCTATTTTACAAAACATTATTGTATGTAGAACTCTGAATAGTTATAAAATTACTATATTTGAGAAATAAACAAATAAATGGAAAACATATATATATATATATTTCGGTTTTTTAAATAAGATTTCTAATGTATTTTTCAACTGCTTTTTACTCCTAAACTCTCTTTTCACATTTTCTCTCCATTCCTAACCTCAATTTTCACATTCCGAGTCCCTCTCCATTCCTCTCCTAAATGAAATGAACTACTCCTCTCCTACTCCTAATAGCGAGTACTAGCGAGCCTCTCCTCTCCTACAAGGCAGGAAGGGAGAAAAGAGGAGAAGTAGAACACTGCCAAGATCTATCCCCAAGCAGCATTCAAAGGCAGGAATTACTTTGTTATTGTGGCATTGGCTTGGCATTGATTTTGCGGGAATTCTCTTTCAAATTGAGCGAAGTCTTGTATTTATTGAGTACGAAAGCTAGAAAATCTAAATATTTACTTCATTTGAAGATATAATTTCAGGCTAATTTCATCTTCCGATTAAAAGGTAGTGTTTAAGCTAACAATTCACACCTACTCCCCATTGTTTAGAGCGCAAGTCTCACGGCTAGAGTGCAAAAAGTGATTGAAGATATTTAAAGAATCCGAGCGACTTGGCATAAGAGTATTAAAATCACCGAATATAAATACCAACGATCTCAGTATATACTACCGCCTCCTACCAGAAATGAACCTACGAGTATACCGCCCAGTTCCAATAAAGTATAATGAAAACTCCTAACTCAACAACTGGATTGCCAGTGCTTTCAACCTTTTGCGAAATTAATGAAAAGCTAGATATAGAATAGTCCTCAAAGTCTATAGAATGACTCGGAGACTGAAAATGCGTTTTAAGTTCTCCCTTCGGTTAAGCGAATACCATGGCTCAAATTCAATACTGTATAACGAGTCATATCTGTATGATGAAAGAAACTTCAAGTTTAGCATTTTATCATCTGATCTCAAAATATGTTAAGATAGAGAACTGTGAAATAGATGGGTATAGATTAATGTACAATTCAAAAGTAAACAAGTCAGAAACCCGAATATATAGTAGCTACCTTGTGGGACTTTTATAGCTGGTCTTGAACATGTGATATCGTTTTTGAAGCACTTGAAAATATAGATAGAGTGTATGCAGTACACTGGTTCATAATTATTGATGAGGCATTGAATCGGGTAACAACACAATACGGAGTGAAAGCAATGGGGGGGAAGGGAGAGGAGTTTCGTATCCCTCACCCTGTTTTACTAGTATATGATATGAGATTGGTTAAATAAAGCAGTGTAGTCAGTGATCCAGTTGAACGATGTATTGGTTAAACTGACAGTTTAGTTTGTTGAATCCAAATTGTTAACTAGTGGGTTTAGTTTACACAATTACAACTACTAGTTAAACCGTAGACCTTCAAACTAGTGGTTTCCTGATGGTTCAAACTACTGACCACACTGAAATTAACACCAATACAGCACAGTTATTTCTCCACCGGATCTGGTATGTGTATATAAATTACTCAACGTTTTCGGCAGCTAAATCTTTCACCTACGACTCACCAATATAACAGTATGACGACGTGAGACTAGTGAGTATGAGCAATAAATCGATTGTGGAACTGTGCTTTGAATAGTCAGAGCAAGACAGGAACGACGAGAACTCGAGTCACAAACATTGAAAATATCAATTTACTTATTGAAAAAAAAACAATAGCAGTGAAGATAAATAAAATAGTAGTAATAAAATTGCAATACTAAATAAATGTATACTTATAAAGAAGTCAAAATCAGATACTACATCAACAAGTATTTTCGTGCCCAGGAATACCGGTATTGCTTGTAGATTTCGCCCGTTTGCTTTGAACCGATCCCTCACCTCAATGATAAGCGGCAGACTCGTTGATCATATGAATTACAGTACATATTGAAGATTTTAAGGAGTTAGACAATGTGTGATTTTGCTAGGAGAAGTATAGACTGCTGAATGATAGAATGATAAAAAGATAGAAGCAGCGCTCACAGACAGAAACACAAAAGACCTTGGTAAGGCAAGAGTTATCAATTTCTCGAACTAGAACCAGAATCATAGCATTGATGATTCATCTAAGATCAAAGATATAAATGAATGACTAGGACTTATTTCATTCAGTAGCTCAAGTCAAAGATTATCATAGATGAAGTGATATCATGTGATATCATACAGGACTCAAGGAGAGGTGCCTATAGCGATACGAGTAGATCATGCTCATCTAAACAGACTGACAAAACAACTCAACTCCCTTCCTTCAATGATCATATATTTACTCAAGTACAAGTACATCTGACAATATCGAATACAATGGAACTTAGCACGTGTTAGACACAAATCGTAATCCATCGGAAAAAACCGGACTTTATAAATTAAGTACCGGTATTCAATTGTAACGACAAGCTTATTTCCCTCCCCCGGACTCAACGTGAGCTCAACCTCAACCTCAACTCTATGGTCAAGAATGGGAGGTGGGTGCATCGGTCCGCGTTATCTCTTGTTCTTGGTGTAAAAACCGAGGCTAAGGTAAAGATCAAGGTAAAGGTACGGAAGAGAGAATTGGGTATCGCGTGCGTGTGCGTGTGGTTTCAGTCATTTATGAGACCGGTACTCTTATTATAGCTTAGGGAGAAATCTCACTTGAGAAGTACTGTACAGTATGTATATATGTATCCTTTAGTTTTCACGAGACTGCATGTGATATTCTGATACTTGTAGGTTAACGGGCCGTGAATCCCGTCAATTTCGAAAGAACATGTGCAAAACAAAGCAAAGATGGAAGAAAATGAAATGAGAGGATTTGGATCGATGCATAAGCTTTAATCAGTTTAATCAGAGGTAAAAGAGATGAGATAAGGCAAGAGAGGCAGGCAAAAGGCTAAAGACAAATTTGGAATATAGTACATGGATTTGGATGGTGTTGTTGAAAAGATTTGGTGTATGTATGTTGAGTTGCATATGGACCAAAGGAAGAAACTCAATTTAGCGCGTGGTCAGTCGCTAGGAAATGGCGCGAGACGCTGAAGATCGATCCAGAGAAGAGGCTATGTTGAAAGGTCCGATATCATGTTGTATGAATTCGAAAAGGTACCATACCATACCATACCATACCATACCATGTTACATTCAACAATCTGTTGTATAACAGTCATCTTGTAAGCCAAGGCGTATAATATGATAATCGATACACACATGAAGACTGGCTGGCTGGCGGCTATAGCGTTTACATACAATATGAGCTGATTTGGAGATTTGCCTTGAGTTATCATTGTTTCCAAGTAGTGAGTTGACCTGATAATCAAAATAGGACCGAAAAGGAGAAAGAGAAAGAAAGGTTCCGGATAAACTCATTCGGATAAAGCTCATCTATAAAATACCGGTATGATATGAATAACCGCCTACCATACTTCATACAAGTACGTATATAACCAACGAGAGGACTTCGGACAAGAATTGTTCCACTCAACCAGCTACTACTACTACTACTACTACTACTACTACTATCGTAATCACTGCGCCTGCCCAAGCTTATAATTCCGTTTCACCATATCATACAAGTATCGGTAATCAATCAATTGCCCCATTCTCATTCTCATTCTCATTCTCAGATCCATGCCAGGACATTACTCGTTATATCCAACTCCGAATTTCAATCGAGCGTATGTTTGTACAGCACAAGTACTACCGGTAAGTACTCGGTAAGTAGACGAAGTGTAATACATATTACTGTCTCTGGGTTTTCTACTATATTGGATTGGATGTCGGTATATAGGTATGTATTAAAAACCAAAATTGAAAATCTATTTTATTTGATATACTCAAGTAGTATGGTATTACATGAAGTTACATCTTACTTGTCAGTCAATAATAGTCAATAATACCACCAGTACATACATATACAAATTTATATTCATTTACCAGACATCTCTCTTCTCTCCTCCTCTCTCCCGAACATCACAGGTTTCTGAATATACTAACAGAGTTGTATCCTATTTGCCGCTCCGATCTAGTCTAGAACAAATATTCAAAATATATGCACTGCACTGCACGTACTCATTTGGTTGATCGATCATCACTGCCCCAATAAATGCGTACTCATACCATACCATACCCATAACCTCAAAGTCTAGAACCATCCCTTCCCCTTCCCCCACCTCTACTTCTTCCTTTCTTCTCCACTAACCACTAAACAATCCCTCCACTTAAAACAAATCCCCAGCTTATTTCTATTCTACTGCGTCATATAACGAATACGGTAATCCGTCATTTCAAATTAAATCAAAATCAAAATCAAATCGAATTAACATTGAACAAACTCCATCCATTTCAATACTACCGGTACACTGGCATATGCATTCAAAGCTTCGAAGCTGGGAGTGAAATAAGCTGGAGTGAAGCAAGCATAATACGAGTATATCGTTAAGTTCTAGCCTCTAGGTCACTACAGTAACAAACAACCCTCCTCTCCTCTCCTCTCCTAGTTTCATCCATGCAGCATACTAGTAGTATTCGTACAGCATTTGAAATCCCTCCCTCTATGTTCCAAATGTCCAAATGTTCCAATCATTCATCCAGACTAGACAGATATCTATCTATTCTATTGGTTAATATTATCACACACCACCAATCAAACCCCTTCCCACGAATAGCCAGCTAATTGCCATGGCTTATGACACTTCACATCATGCAGCTTCCCTATCTCTATTTCCTACCCCTACTCTCCTCCTCCTCCTACGTAGCACAAGCCAAGATTCAGATAATAGTTAGTTACAAACCTATGTGTGTGCATGTGTATGTGTGACCTTGCTTTTTCTTTTGGTTCGGTCTTCCTGCACACCCGCCCATTATTGCCAATACCAATATAATATACCGGTAATATACGCCCGAATATATAAACATATACTCTTCCCCAGATTTTCGATTCTTTAGATTTTAATCTTTAACTCCCATCTTCATTTCAATCATTATTTGAATATTTTCGTACATCGTTCTACACTCTACAATTTAACTCGATATCATACCCCATACCTCCTTCCAATTCATTCAGCGAGTATTACTTACTTACGGTTATCAATTTGACTCATCATCTCATTTCACTAAAGTACCCCTTCATACCCCGCCATATACCAACTCAAACCTATCTACCTACCTCAACATCTACAAACAACATCACATCTATATCACCTAGATTTCCATCAAATTTATTATTTTATACACTATTGTTCATTATCCATCATCATGGGGTTAAAAGCAGTTCATTTCGGTGCTGGAAATATTGGTCGAGGTTTTGTTGCTGAATTTGTGAGTTTGACCGCTCCCCCCTTCTCATTCTCATTGAAGTATCAATATTATCATATCCCCTTGCCTTTGAACTTTCATGTCCGATCTGATATAGCATACGACTCAAAACTTTACTAACCATATCATAATTAGCTTCACAAATCCGGATATGAAGTTGTCTTCTGCGATGTCATGGATAGCATTATTCAAAAATTGCAAACGACTCCTTCATATAAAGTGATTCAGGTTGGAGCCGAGGGAACAAGCGAAGAAATCATCACCAACTACCGTGCGATCAACTCGAAAACACATGAGGCCGATGTTATTGAGGAGATTCGAACCGCTGATGTTGTGACATGTTCTGTTGGTCCCAACATTCTTAAGTTCATTGCACCTGTCATCGCTAAGGGTATCGATGGCCGATCCAACGATGCTACCCCGATTGCTGTCATTGCTTGCGAGAATGCAATCGGTGCAACTGATACTCTCGCCAATCACGTCAAAGGCGACCATACCCCCGAACATCGTCTTGATGATCACCACGAGCGAGCACGCTATGCCAACTCTGCCATCGATCGTATCGTTCCCGCTCAAGATCCCGATGCAGGACTCGATGTCAAGCTTGAGAAATTCTACGAATGGGTTGTTGATCGCTCACCTTTCCATGATCACGCACCTCCAGCGATTAACGGTATCAAGTGGGTTGATGACTTAATACCATATATTGAGCGTAAGCTCTTCACCGTCAACACTGGACACGCAGCTGCTGCATACCACGGATACTACCATCAGAAAACCACAGTTTATGATGCTCTACAAGACCCTAAGATTCTTAAAGAAGTCCACATGGCGTTGGAGGAGACAAGTATATTAATTGTGGGAAAGCACGGCATTGAAGAGCAGGAACAAAAGGACTATGTCGAAAAGATCATTGCCCGAATTGGGAACCCGCATCTAGAAGATGCAGTAGAAAGAGTTGGTCGTGCACCCTTGCGCAAATTGAGTCGAAAAGAAAGATTTATTGCCCCAGCAGCTGAACTTGCAGAAGAAGGAAAGGAATTTGGTGCACTATTAGACGCTGCTGAGATGGCTTTCCGTTTCCAGAATGTTGAAGGCGATGAAGAATCCAAGGAGTTGGCTAAGATCATGTCGGAAAACTCACCCGAACAAGTTGTGGAGAAAGTCTGCGGATTACAATCTGATCACCCACTATTCCCTCACGTGGTAGCGGTCGTGAAGAAGGTTCAGGCTGATGAGTAGAGAGAGTGGTGGTGGTGTTTTTAATGTTTTCTATTTTGAGGGATTCTTATGATGGCGAATGGATATTGAGCGATACTTTTGGCGTGTTATGGATAACGCAGTATTGTTTTTGACGATATGGAATGAACTGAGCTGAGCAGCCTAGATTGGCTAGATGATGATATGAATGAAAATAAAATAAAATAAAATAAAATATTCAAATCAATGAGTTTCCACCACTTGGCTCTCTCCCTTCTATTGAATTGAAGTTTTATACACAAATGAGCTGCTAGGAGAATAAAATTTCCTCTTAAACAGTCGATGATAGTGTAAGTTTCTGGTTTCGACCCTTGCTACTTACCATGCTTGAGTTCGATGAGAATGAAATGGTGAAGTTCTGTAGAGACTTCCATCTGTTCAAACTCAACCTCATTGTGTTGGAGAAGGTGTAACATTGCCTACCTACTCGAGTAGTATGCTATGCTATGTATACCCTTTCTATAAATAATTCACCATATAGATAGATGACTCTGGCTCTGGTTTATATGTATGAACTTGAAGTACCTACCTATTCTCAAGATAGACTTTATATAAATAATCAATTTTATATATACATATCTGATTACGGAAAATATCGACTTTTGATATTGTGAAGAAGACTTCTCTTTTTTTATCTGATACTGTCACAGAGACTGAACCAACCAAAGGTGGGATCAAAATAAAGAAAATAAGTCGGGGAACGGACCGAATGAACTTTGCCCCGCCATTTACTGTATCAATTTGCGGAGTACAGGACAAAACCAGGAGTGGAAGGAAGGACGAAAGTAAGTACATAAGATTGATTTTACCTAGGTAGGTAGTTCAGTATGTACTTTTGAATTTCTATTCATTTCTTCTATTACTGCAACTTCAAATCTTTACAACCCTTTTTGCCTTACGTTACGTTTAAGTTAAGTTGAATCAAGAAATACTAGGTATGTCAGAGAAGATCTTGGACGATATTTCTCATAGGAGATTTAACCCATTGCGGGGTACTTGGCTTCTCGTTTCCCCTCATCGTACCAAGAGACCATGGCAGTAAGTCTCTTTCCCTCTTGAATCAAAATGAAATGAAATCAAAATCATGATCAATTATCCTGAATATTCCTAACATACATTGCAGAGGACAACAAGAATCAGCTTCGAAAATTACACTTCCGGAATATGATCCAGCAGTATGTTATAATGTCGAATACGATCCCGAGTTTGATTTCGTAGACTGACTTGTGTGTTAAAGTGTTACCTGTGTCCAGGAAATACACGCGCGCAGGGTGATTCAAATCCGCAGTATAAGGATACTTTTGTTTTTGTGAATGATTATAGTGCGGTTAAGGAGGTTCAAGCAGAGTATGCGCAGGATGGAGATTCAAAAGGTACGTTTATATAATAGTCTTACCCTTATGTTGTTCTCAGCCCACCTTTGATATGGGTCCCCTTCCTCTCTTCCTCACACACATCATGATTGAGATCTAACAAATTGCTTTAAATATTATAGATCTATCAAACATTCTCCTCCGCGCCGAACCCGTAACTGGAAAATGCTACGTCCTTACTTTCTCTCCCTCGCACAACCTCACTCTCGCAGACCTTACTCCTGCTCAAATTCTTCCCGTCATACAAACATGGACTGAAATCTACGCCGCTCATCTTTCTCCTTCTTCACCACTTGCAAGCGTCGCGCTGCCTACTGCACTCGCACCATCTGGTCATAATATTGCGGCGCCAAATCAACAATATAAATGGATGCAAATTTTCGAAAATAAAGGTGCTGCAATGGGATGTTCAAATCCCCATCCTCATGGACAGATATGGACTACGACTGGATTACCCGAAGAGCCTGCTTCGGAACTCGTCAATCTTCTTAAATACCGACAGGAAAACTCTGGCCGTCATTTGTTGGAAGATTATGTCAAGCTTGAGATGGAAAAAGAAGAACGAATTGTGTTTCAAAATGAGAGCTTCTTGGCTGTGTGTCCATGGTGGGCTACGTGGCCATTTGAGGTTATGATTGTTAGCAAGACTCACAAGAGAGGTTTGGTTGATTTGAATGATGAGGAGAAGTTAGGTTTTGCAGAAGCTGTTGCTGAAGTTACGAGGAGATATGATAATTTGTTCGAGACGAGCTTTCCTTACAGTGAGTACTTCTTTTATTGCTGTCGATTCGTTTTCTTCTTGAAATCCTCTGCTACTATTTCCCATAATTGCTTTTCTCCCGTGAAGGAAATTCTAGTTTAACAAATCAATAGGTTCTGGAATTCACCAAGCTCCATTAGAGGGTACCGAAGAGGAAATCAATGCCTCCTACTTACATATGCATTTCTATCCTCCTCTTCTTAGAAGTTCAACCGTGAGGAAGTTCTTGGTTGGTTATGAGTTGATGGCAGAGCCGCAGCGAGACATCACTCCAGAGCAGGCCGCTGCTAAATTAAGAGACTGTGGTGGAGAATTGTATAGAAAGAAGTTATAAAGGCTTAGATGGGGGCGATGCTGGGTAGATGTTGGGTATGCGAATAGGGGTGATTAGACGGACAGGATTTGGTGGAATTCAAATAGATTTTAGACATAATCTTATAGTTTGCTGAACTTGAGAGTAATGTCATATACTCGGCATATATACATACTAGGTATCCTCTAGTTTTGGTGACTCACTACATTATTCTTCTCGAGCCAACACGTCTTTTGTTTTGCATGCAGCGTTATACTCGTAGTAACGACTAGTTTACGGCCATTGAATGATTCTCCAAGGACTGAGGGTTGGATATAAGGGACTACGATCCGAGAAAATAAGACATGACTTGTACTATACGGAAATTTCTGATTAGATGATAAATGTAGTTCGACTATGAAAACACAATGATAACCCTATTTTATTGAATTAATATTCGATATTTTTGTTGTCATTTGTTGATGTTTGATTTCCTTTGTATTCTGTATTCCTGGGGATATGAAATAAGGTTATTGCACTAAGCTAAATTGGTACTAGGCAGCATCATTCAAGCTGCCACATCTCGAACTCCAAAGGAACATTGACATATATCTCGAGACAATTCGACCATCCAGCTATTTCTCCCTCCCTCCCACCAATCCTTGTCCTACTTCTTGAACTCGTGAGGTTGGAACGAAATATTTGAAATCGCTCGACTTCTGCGATTGATTATACTCGAGTACACCAAACGCTGTCGTGGAGAAAGCATTTGCGAATCCACCCTGTTACGTGCGCTGAAAGCCACAGTATTACTTTTTCTACCTCCCTTGCTTTACATACATAATCCAAAATGAGGTTGGATGTAAAGGTAAGAATGATTCCTTTTTCTTTCAGCAATCTACTACATATGCAAAGGTGCCAAAAAGGTTATGAGTTCTTGAGTTATACCTGCGAATCAAGGATGTCATCAACAACTTTAAATTGAGGGAGACGGTGTGGTTGGAAATATGGCAACAATTACTAATTCGGTTTACAAATCTCAGAGGCAGTTGTTCGCTCGATCAGAAAGAGTCAAGGGAATCGATTTCCATCCAGTCGAGCCATGGATTTTGACTACATTATACAGCGGTAGGTTCACCGGCGCATGAAGTTTAGGGGTGGATTATTGATAATTGGCAGGTCATGTTTATATTTGGTCTTATGAAACTCAGGTTGGTATCATTCAAAGCTAAATGTCGCCTTGTGCTGACTATTCCTAGGCCATTGTCAAAACATTCGAGTTGACAGATGTCCCGGTACGAGCTGGTAGATTCATAGCTCGAAAGAATTGGATCGTTTGCGGTTCCGATGATTTTCAATTACGAGTTTACAATTACAATACTTCGGAAAAGATTACCACCTTCGAAGCCCATCCAGATTATATTCGCGCCATCGTCGTTCATCCTACGCAACCTTTCGTTTTGACCGCCTCCGATGATATGACAATCAAATTGTGGGATTGGGACAAGGGTTGGAAATGTGTGCAGGTGTTTGAAGGACATAGTCATTATGTTATGGGTCTGGCCATTAACCCCAAGGATACGAATACATTTGCATCGGCGTGTTTGGACAGGACTGTGAAGATCTGGAGTTTAGGATCATCAACAGCAAACTTTACACTGGAGGCGCACGAAACGAAAGGTGTCAATCATGTTGATTACTACCCTCAATCCGACAAACCTTACCTTCTCACTACTTCAGACGACAGGACGGTTAAGATTTGGGATTATACTACCAAATCGTTAATCGCAACTTTAGAAGGACATACAAGCAATGTTTCATTCGCATGCTACCATCCAGAATTACCTGTAATTATCTCAGGTTCTGAAGATGGCACAGTCAAAATATGGCACGCAAATACATATCGATTAGAGCAATCTTTGAATTATGGATTGGAAAGGGCTTGGTGTGTTGGTTACCAAAGAGGGAAGCAGGGAGTTGCTGTCGGATTTGATGAAGGTGCAGTGGTTGTAAAGATGGGTCGAGAAGAGCCTGCCGTATCAATGGATAATTCTGGAAAGTTGATTTGGGCTCGACATAGTGAGGTTGTGTCGTCCATCATCAAGGGCGGAGGTAAGTGCTTCTTTGTGGTTGACGGTTCATTACTAAATTATGTGTAGATGCTTTAGTAAAGGATAATGAACCAATTTCTCTGCCTACGAAAGATCTCGGTACTTGCGAAGTATATCCACAAACTCTTCTTCACTCTCCAAACGGTCGATTCGTTTCGGTATGCGGCGACGGAGAGTTCATCATTTATACTGCTCTCGCTTGGAGGAATAAGGCTTTCGGCTCCGCCTTGGACTTTGTTTGGGGTTCGAAAGATAATAGCAATGATTACGCAATTCGAGAGTCGCCTACAAGTGTTAAGATATTCAAGAACTTTGTGGAGAAAAGCGGTGGACTTGATGTTGGTTTCCAGGCTGAAGGTTTAACCGGTGGTGTTCTCCTTGGTGTCAGGGGTCAAGGTGGTATCAGTTTCTTTGATTGGCAAAGCGGTGGACTTGTTAGGAGGATTGAAGTTGAGCCGACTGAGGTTCGTATCTTTACCCGGTCAATGAATCTATCACTGACTGATGTAGGTATACTGGTCTGAAAACGGAGAATTGGTCGCCATTGCATGCGAAGATACCTTTTACGTCCTCCGATTTTCACGCGAAAACTATATCGCGGCCCTGAATGCTGGAGAGGTTGATGATGATGGAGTCGAGGCTGCATTTGAGGTTGTGACGGATATCAATGAAACGTATGTCCAACCAAGCTTACTACAAATAATCAATGCTAACTTTCGTAGCGTGCGAACCGGTGAATGGGTAGGTGACTGCTTCATCTACACAAACAGCACCAACAGACTCAACTATCTTGTTGGTGATCAAACTTATACCATCTCTCACTTCGATCAACCAATGTACTTGCTAGGATACATTCAGCGCGATTCTCGCATTTACCTTGCCGATAAAGATGTCACTGTCACTTCTTTCGCCCTTTCTCTCGCTGTCGTCGAATATCAAACATTGGTTTTGAGAGATGATATGGATACAGCCGCAGAAATACTTGATACGATCCCCGGTGATCAGCTTAATAAAATCGCTCGCTTCCTTGAAGGTCAAGGACACAAAGAATTGGCGTTGGAGGTTGCAACTGATAGCGAACACAAATTTGAGCTGGCTCTCGCGTTAGGTCATCTTCCGATAGCTCTCGAACTCGCTCGTGAAGCAGACGTCGAGCATAAATGGAAGACAGTAGGTGATGCAGCGCTTGCAGGTTGGGATGTTGCACTTGCAGCAGAATGTTTCACGAATGCTAAAGATCTTGGTTCACTGTTATTACTTCACTCAAGTACGGGTGATAGAGAGGGACTCAAGGCATTGAGTGCACAAGCAAGCGATGCAGGTGCGCATAATGTGGCATTCACATGTCTTTGGCAGCTAGGGGATGTCGATGGATGTATTGAGTTGTTGATTAAAACTGGTAGAGCGGCGGAAGCGGTACTGTTCTCACAAACATACAAACCGAGCATCACGGTCAAGACTGTGCACGCATGGAAAGCACAGTTGGAAAATGATAAAAAGGGAAGGGTGGCTAAGACCGTTGGTGTACCGGGTGAAGATGAAGAGCTTTTCCCTGAATGGGAAGAATATTTGAGATTGGAGCAGGGTGGTGAGAATCTCATTGACGTTAATGGCGATGGTGATGGACATGATAAGATTAATGGTGATGGACCGGATCCGGATGCTGAAGCTGTTGAGGAGGGTTCACTAGAGACGAAAGATGAAGATGAAGATGATGAGGAAGAATCGGAGGAGTAGGAGTGTGGATGAGGAAATGAAATGCAAAAATTGTGTGTATTTTGAGAATATCTTGAAGGTGGCTATAAAAGTAACTTTTGAAGATGTGAATGTCTTATTTGATAGAGAATTAAAGAATCATTCATTCTAGGTCCACCGGTAATAGTGGCTGTATGATCGAATTTTCTATTTGAATATTGTCGATCAGGAAGACAGTTGACAGAAGAAAAAAGAGGAAGACGACTCCGCAAAGACAAGTAAAATCTAAAGGGGGTATATAGTAATCTAGTAAGAGTAAGAGAAACCCTAGTACTATATCATTTCGTATCTCTACTCGCATATAATATCCATCAATCAATCATTATATAATAAATAACCTTTATCTCTATACTCATACTTTTCTTTAAACATTTCTTTTTATCTTTTTAATACCTAGGTATATATATATAGACTATCTATTCCTCTTGATTAAATTTATTTATTTATTTTCCTTTTCTTTTCTTTAGGAGAGGATAGGATAGGAGAGGAAGGAGAGGAGAGGAGAGAAGGAGAGGAGAGTTTGAATACGCTAGTAGTAGAACTTATCTATATACGAGTAAATAAAAGATCATACGTATACTAGATGAGTAGATGTGTATATTGTGTTGTGTTATATTATATAGTATAGTATAGTATAGTATATATAGTGTATCTAGTATATATATCTAGCAATAATACAATATACTCGAGTGAGTATAATTATAGTACGAATGAATACTTACGCCTGCACCCGAAAGTTTTTTGCACCCGGGATTTATTATTATATATATGTATGTTATGGGGTAGGGTTGGGCTGGGTAGGGTAGGATAGAAGTAGGATAGGATATAGGGTAGGGTAGGATAGGATAGTTATAGAGAATGAAATATAGTTGAGAATGGATTTATCTATTATTAACTACTGACTATACTCGTACTTATACTCGAGTACTCGAGTATATATAAGCTCGGGAATAAACTTCGGCAGTATTCACTCCCTGTACTCGTACTGATTGTAAGATTACTTTATTCGTAGGTAGATTTGCGGAGTTCAGTTAGTGAGTGATGTGATGGACTTGTGGAGATTTTATTCCGGGGGGTTTTGTTGTTGGTTGTTTTATTGCATTTTTTGTTGATTTTGATGTTATAAGCTGCGATGCGAATGGCTCGGGTAGTCTAATCGTCGCTCTTTATGATGGAGTGTGGTGAGATGAGGAGATTGAGGAATAAAAACTTATATCCCATTTATTCCATGTTTATGGCACCATGATCCGTAATATATAGGTATCGAGATCCTTCAGAGCCCGAGCACAAATTTTTGCCGTTATCTTTTCTGCCCAGTCGAATGTCTCGGTGTCGGACGGAATAAAGTCTTGCAGTCTTTTGAACTTATTATCAGTTGGGGCCGTGAGATCAAATTAGTCACGATCTTACTTACCAGGTGCCATGGGCTATGGGACTGCCTCTGATAAAGTCGTAAGTGTGATAATCTCCTAATTCATACCGGATTGCAACTATGCTCAGAATTAGTAGCTGTCTCTACTCGTACAATACAAAAGACTCATATTTTATATCCATAAAGCAGTTACCAGTTTGTATCTCGAATATCTGGATTATGATTATTTGTAACAAAGCAGGTGTACAATGAGATTTAAGTAATCTTGAAATTGTTGTGATATACATATATCACTATTTGTGCCATTCCATGAAGACAGGAATTTCATCGTTTATTTTGTTTTAAGTCTTTTTCTTGATATTTTTAGTTCAGTTATGACAGATGGAAGAAACTTTGAGGATTCGCTTATGAAAGTTTGAATCTAAATATTTTTATTATATCTACAAAGCTTTTCTCAACTAATTGTATATTCTATAACCTTTTAGGTTATTCCTATCCTTACATAATTTATTTAATATTTAGTTATATCTGTTTTTATTATATATATCGTCTAGTTTTACTATTATATTGGAATACGCCACATTATCAGATCATCGTTGATAAATGATTGAGTCGCTTTTACTTCCATTCTCTTCACAAAACAGATTATTAATATCCCTATCAAAAAAGATTTAATTGTTTATTTTATTTGCTTGTAATCTTTTTTAGTTTTATTTTATACTTATTTTCCCTAAAATATTTTTACACCTCTAAATCAATTCAATATCCAAATCTTAATATAAAAATAATATTCATAACAATAAAAGGTTTTGTTCTTGTCATAGGAGTAAGATATACCTTTAGTATTTGTTGTTATTATCAGAAACTAAATTAGTTAATAATCTTTACTAGATAACAGTTGGTATTGGAGAGGAAACTGGATATGCTTTTGCCAAAACTAGTGCAACTGGAGTGGTATTTGCAGATCTCAATTATGAGGGAGTTTCTGCAAGTGTAGAGAAAAACCAGGAATTTGTTATCAATACAAATTATTGTGTTCTAGTTATTAAAGTAGATATGATAGATCTAGATAATGTTTAGACAATGATCGATTTAATTGTCAAAAAATTTGATTAGATCGACTACAGTATCAACAATGTTGGTGTGAGTTTATAAATTTATGATAAGGATTACGGATATTTCACTTCTGATATTGATATCTACAACTACAATACTACAATTGTTATTAATATCCGAGGATCAATACTTTGTATCCAAGCCATAACAAAAACTATAAGTACTCAGAAGCCTATAATCTATCAAGGACGTTATGGCGAAGAGTATAGTCTTGGACGTGGCTATATTATAAATCTAGGATCTGGATTATCCTTTGGTGCAGGATCAGAGATGATAGTTTATGTGGCATCGAAACATACTTTTATAGGAATTACCAAGGTTGCTGGTGAGTTTGAAAATTCTTATTCGAAATATGTTAGCCTTCGAAATGAAATCCTAACATTTTGGATAGTATTGGATAATGCGAAGTATCAGATTCGAGTTAATACCTTGTGCCCTTCGTGGGTTAAAATATTTATGTTAGAGCGAAGTTTGGATCATTGGCCCAAGTTAGCTAAAGTTATACAAGCTGCTTCTACAGCTAAAAGATCTGCAATTCTAGAAGAGGTTGTGAATATTGCTGTTTTCTTGTATAGTTCTTGAGTTACTTATATAAGTGGAATAGGTTTCTTGGTAAATACTGTAATAATGGTTACTGCACATATTTAGGCTGAAGGAAAGCATTTTTGGGGCGATTTAAGATAATATATAGATCTTTCCTAGGCGGAAGTTGAGGCAGTTCTCACAAAGCGGGAGGTCTCACAACAAGATATATTGAAGAAGCTGATCCATTGAATCATGTGCTTAAGAGAGCCCAAGCACTATCAGGTATTTATAGTAGATTCGGGCGAGTTACGTGCGTGGAGTTGATACATGTCAGAAGTTCTGGTAGGATGACATTAGTTTAAATCTTGGACTTCTTGCCTACAGGCGAAATCAAGATCCAATCATGTAGTATTCATTATATATAAATGCATCTTAAAAAATGCATTGATAGAGACATATGGTCTGTTGAGTCTATAAATTGACAACTTCATCCAACATTTGCTTTTACACGAAGACTACGGATATGTATGTTGGAGGCGTGTTGGCGATATCTCGGTTCCACTACCGGTACTTTGACTCTCGAACACGGAGTTATAGTGAATTCTCAGCCCAATGCTCTAAGCGTCTTCCGATCGCAGACAGATTCTCTCCTTTATATATAGGTACCCAGTGTACGAGTTTATTCAAATTGATACTATAGGTTGACAATGGTACGGTGAAGTCTGATATCGGTCATTTGGAGGGTACAAGTGGTATCGTCGGATTTATCAAGACCGCGCTGGTGCTTGAGGAGGAAGAAATCCCGCCAAACACATATTTTGAGCAGGTGAATCCAGACATAGATGCCGAGTTTCTTAACATAAAAGAAGGTACGTAACACCAATTCATAGATAAATATCCTGGTCTCGTTGAATTGCAACTAGTAACTCTGCTACCCTCATATCAGTTTCCCACTGTTTGGCCCTGTCAAGGACTCCGCCGAGCATCTCTTAACTAATTCGGCTTTGGTGGTTCAAATTCAAATTGTGTTATTGATGATGCGTATCACTTTATGGAGTCACGCGGGCTTTCTGGCTACTACAACACTATCATCGATCCTCGGTTCCCAGAAGTTGTTCCCAAGTTTGACCTACTATACCCCAAAAGTTGTAGGTCAGATGGGTACTAGGCGCGTAATCAGTCTTGAATTCAACAACTCGGCTAAAGCGATGTCTAATTATGATATGCTAACACTTGATACAGACGAACACAGACGAACGGCGATTCATATTAGATCAATGGTCATACTTCTACTGATGAGTCGAAGCTACTGATTTGGAGTGCCGCAGATGAGGAGGGTCTAAATTGTATTGCAAAATCCTACGGCAACTATTTCGGAATCTCTACCTCCGATTTTCCTTCATCATACCTAAAGAATAATTCATACACCTTGATCTTTCGGAGAAGGGCTTTAAAATGGAGATCATATGCGGTGATTGATGATATCAGTAATCTACTCGAGTACAGCATCTTGAGAAACTAAAAGCCCCACCAAGTCGCACCAATGCATCGGGATTGTATTCACTGATCAAGGGTCACAATATAGCCGAATGGGAATCGAATTACTTGACTACTCAACCTTTGCTGAGTCACTTCGAAAGTCAAATGAGTCGTTCAAGAAGCTCGGATGTATCTGGTCTCTTTTCGGTAATTACTACTAAATCTATGAGCCTACGGAGATTTTGATGTATTTACTGTTCCAGAAGAGCTTATCTTGCAAGGCGAAAGGCCCCATATTGACGACCCGGCTCATAGCCAGCGTCTATGCACAGCATTGCGAATTGGTCTTGTTTTACTCTTTCGCAGCGTCGGGATCGTGCCTTCAATTTGGCACTGTTAGCGAAAATGACGCATACTTCCAAGTGAAGAACAAGGGACATCTGCTTGACATTGCCAGCATCAAGGAGAAAGAGTTTATGGTACTTCTGGATCATTATTGCCATCCTAATCAAGAGCCTCCTTCACAGGAAAATAGTTTGCCCATGATTAGTCTTGTCACATCCGCACAGCTTTCATCACAAGGCCTGGACGTACCGGATTGGATTATTCGCCCGACATCCTATCTACTTGGCTTGACCGCCACTTTCGTAGCAGACATATCATCCAGTGGAGTAGATTATGCCACTGAATTGCGTAATGCGAATTCCTTTGCCGATGCTAAGGGAATAGCGTTGGTAGCTCTGATGTCAAAGCTAGCGAAGGCACTGGCGATATCGATTTCCGATATCGACACCATTAAACCGTTGCATTTTGGAATGGACTCGCTGTTAGCGGTTGAACTGCGTAATTCGGCGGCGGAAAAATGGGTGCTAATATTGCCGTGTTCGATATTATGGACGCGGAGAGCATTCTTGTTTTGAGTGGGATTCCTTACAACTAAGACTTCCTTGGTTGATTTGGAGGAGGAAAGTTGAGCTGAAGTAAGCGCTGCTTCAAGGATAATACTGCAGAGTAGATATATACTAATTAGATGTGGTTTTGACTATATATAGCCTTAATATTTTATAATTTCAACTCAGTCTTTTCCTTGTGGTCTAATAGGGTCGTCTTCTCTTCTACTGCATTCACAGTATCAATCTATTCAGAAAATATAGGGATTCAAATCTAATGAAATTCCTTTTCTACTCGTACATAGATTTATATTACGTTATATATAACGTGG